GGCTTCTTTGGGGATTCAAGTGTTCCCTTGCCTTCCGCCAGCACGTTGTGGACAAGAACCTCGCGGCCGTTAATGATGACCGAGTCCCGGCCGGTATCAAGACCACGTTTCTCAGCTGCTTTCCAGTGATCCGGCCCATAGCCCTCGACCTCCAGGGCGTGTTCCGTATTGAACACTCGAAGGTCCTTCTCCTCGACCATCGATGCAGCTTCAGAGCGGGAAAGAGGAGTAGCATCTGCGTCACGATTAAACCGTCTGGCATCCGACAGCCAAAGATGATCTTCGTTGCTCGCCGAAGGGGCCGAGTTGCTGGGGCCGGCTTCATCAGCATCAAACCCTGGCGTCGTGGGCTCGTCGTTGTATATCTCGTCCATCTGTGCCGCCATTTCCTCCTCCTTGTCAAGCTCTGCCTGCCTCTCTTCCTCGAGAATCTCGTCGACATCGAGACCAAGATGCTCACGCATCAAACGCAGACGAAGCGTATGCGCGAATCGGCCGACGCGGTAGGGCTTGCCGCCCATCGTGGACCAGATCATGTCTGTGTCACGGACAATGGCTGCCAACTCGGAGTCGCGGTCGCCTCGCAAAGATCGCTCGTTAATGTTGGCAGACCCGATGAGAGCCACACGGTCGTCCACAATGATACACTTCGCGTGAATGTAGAGCTGCTCCGTGACGAGTTCACCGCTGCCCATCTTACCCCACTGACGCAGGCTGTAGAACTGGATGTAATCCTCGGGTTCGATGCCCGCCGCGCGAAGACGTCCAAAGATGGAATTTTCTCCACGGCAGATGCTGTAAAACTGACACTGCAGAATCAACCGAACGCTAGTGCCCTCTTGCTCGTCGACCCTGCTTTGGAAGCCTGGCAGTAACGGAATGACAATGCAGGCCTTCCAATCTTCTTCGTTGTTGTAGGCGCGGATAATTCGCTCCACCAGGGCGTCGCCAATGCGGTTGACAATCTTGGTGTTCATGACCTCTGTGCTGGTGATGAAGAACTGGTTCTCCATGTATACGAAGTGGTCTGAATCCTCTATCATCTTGATATAGGCATTCTGAATGCTGTGCTCCGGGTCATCAATACCGAGTGACCAGTTGCACGCAGATCTCAGGATCTGAACTTCGCATGTGCCAGTTAGGCCGAGGCCTTCCATCTCGCCTGGTTTGACGTCTGGCGGCGGCAGAAGGAATGGCAGAGGACGGGTCGTTGTGCGGCCACGGCGAATGTAGTTCCATCGCTGGACAAAGTGCCGTGTAAGATCTCTCGCCGGCTGGCCTACAACCTGCATGCCAATATCGTGCCAAGGCATTCTGGGGATTTTGCCCCTGTCGTACATCTCTTCATAAGGTTCGTTAAGCTTGTAGAAATCTTGTACGCGGGCATTGGAGTAGTCTTTTCCAGGAAACAGCTGGCAGTGCAGCGCATCCTTGGGCTGCTCGCTCTGCTCGAAGCCCGTGGGCTTATCGTCTACGCATGGGTGTTGAGGACAGTCCCACCGGCCAAAGCAGAGATCAATGCCACCGACAAAGGCAATATCGTGATCGATAACGCAAAGCTTCTCGTGGTGGGCAAAAAAGAATTGGTTCTTCTTGAACTGGTTCGGCGATCGCTGGACAAAGATATTCGGATGCAGGTTTAGCAACGAATGTTTCGTATACTCTGAGTCAATGGGAATGGCGGCCTCGACGTTGCGGTACACGATGACGAATACCTTGACACCTTCTCGAGCCTTGCGCTGCAGCAGCCGGTCCAGACGCCATTTTTGACTGATGGCTGGCGGCCTTCGCATATAGAGCTCAGGGCTCAGCCACCAATCGTGGATGTAAATGACATCCCTCGCCATACTGATGGCACGCGAAACGTTCCACATGTAGTCTCGGCCATCGACAAGCCATTGAGCGAATACGCCCTGTCTTACTGGCGCAAAGCTGTCGAAACGATTGACAGAATGCCACTTTGTCTGCTTTAACATCTCGGCAATGGAGTCTTCAAATTGCTTGAGCACTGCCTGATTTCTTGAGAAGAGCTTGACTTTGCGTTCAGAAGTGTGCAGCGTCAGGGTATGGTGTTTGTCAGGTGGCGGCTCTTTCGTCAGATCAATCTCCCTGGTACCGCTGGAGCCAATGTGCTTGAGCGAACTCTTTTTGGATGCGATCCGGAACTTGGCGTCGACTAAGTACACATCGTATACGAGCATGTTCTCGGGTGACTCAACGCACACGATGTAGCTGGACCGAACGAGGAACCATTTGCGGCTGTGCCGAGCAATGACTTTTTCTGGAGTCAAAACTCGTCTGAAATCGAGACCCTTGGAGGATTGGATGTGAAGGTAACACTCTTTTCCATGGTAGCTGCCCTCGGCAGCCAGGCGGACGCCAAGTGCAGATAACTCGAGGAACTTGCAGAGTCGGTTGCTGTCCGCACGGAACATGAGCCATCGGACCATGTCTTGCATGTATTTCTCGAGAACCCGCCGTTGCCTCTCGACATAACGTCGTCGAGACTGCATCATCTCCGCATGTCCCTCCAGTGCAGAAGTCTCGCCTGGATCCGTCAGTCCGGTTGATCTCCTTCGCATGCCAAGCATGCCCAGCCTAGACTTTTTTCTCCGGCCGCCCTGTGGACGGCCGTCGGTCTCGTCGGCTGTCTCGTCAACAGTGCGCTCGCCAGGGGTCTGTTCGGCCGGATCATCACCGCGAACACTAGCCATGTCGTCTTCTTCCGATTCGTCTTTGGTCCGCGCCCCACGAAGGTAAGGAAACGCGGCCCATGGGAATTTCGGTTGCTTTGGCCGCGAGCCAATGTCGGCTCTTCCGTGTATAAACTTGTCGTTGCTCATGGCAAACTTGTACCGCACATGGAGATTGTAGACGTCTTTGATGGTGCGGATGATCGTCCACTTCATGCGGCTGGGCCCACTGCCGTATTCCATGTCGATGGTAAAAAGCCAATGTCGATCGCTGTCGTCGCCCTGGCTCGGGGGCACTGTCCCTGATGTGAAGTCTCACTTGTTCAAGAAGTACAGGTATCCGCTTGTTGCCGTGCTCATCTCGCTGAATCATGCTTGCGAGCATGAGAGCCGCCGGCGCGCCAGCTCGAAGCTCAGCCATGAGCTCAGCGGACTTGGCAAAGTCGAACCGGTCCTCTTTCTTCTGCCTAAGAAGCTTCAGAGTATTTTTCACCTGCTTCCACTTCTGCACACCGAACGTCGATGCTCGCTCACCGCTGAAGAACGGACGTCGCGGCGTCATGGCATCGCCGTCAGATGCGCCGCCACCGCCAAGAACTGTGATCCGGCGGACATGGCCCGGTCCTCTCGTAGAGGGACCACCCGTGTCGCGGGATTCATTGCGCAAGGACCTCGTTGATCCTACGATCCATGAGTTGCCCCTCATCCACGAGGGTGTCGTCAGCTGATCACGGCCTTCGCCTTCAGACAAGCCGTGTTGATGATCTGGCGGGTCCGGCATGCTCAAGCGTCTCCTAAGACCTAGCCTGCTCTGTACTATGGGCGAATCGGAGGCTGCTGCCCTCATGTTGGGCGTGCTGGGGATGGAGATTGGAGGCTTCGAGGCCGGCGCATCATCTCTCTTCTCTTGGCCCTACTTGTGTCGGAGACAGCCCCCTCGTCGGCAGTTTCTTCTGCATCGGCATCAATGTCGCTACCTTCTTCTGCCAATGTACCAGGTATTCTTGATCCACCACGGGTAACGGTAGGAGATGCGTTCAGAGCTTGACTTCCGGCCTCACCTAGGGCGCCAGAGCTCGGCGATCTAGGGATCTGTGTGCTAGAGCCAGCAAACTGCTTCAATTTGTTCATCAGGGACGAGCTAAGGGACTTGGCAGGGTCGTCCCAGGAGGTGTTTCGTGAATGCGTGTGGGCGGGGGGCGCATCCAGCACAACGTCGGCCCTGGCAAACTGAACACTGCGACGCCCACCACCTGGCGACGTGGGTTCCGAGTTGCCTCCATTCTCTTGTAGAAAAGGCGGGTCTGGTGTTCGGTCATTCATATCGGACGAGTTGTTGAGCGTCGAAGGAACGTATAGAGCCGGTGGTATCGGTCGGCCGAGCGGATCGACGGGCGACTGGTGTCGGTGCGGTAGTCCGCCGTTCATGTAGTCCCTTGCTTCAGTGGTCGACTCGACATTGTTCGGGCTTCCTGCCAACGGCGATGATTTGAGAATCGAGGGCAGTGGGCTCGCTGGACGGTCCGGAGAGCCAGCGATGGCTACCCTTGTCGGCTTAGGACTTCTGGTCATAGGCGAGACAGAATCATCACGCCGGTTGTCGCCCATGATGAGCTGTGTAGGTGTCGTCAAGAAGGTGTCCGAAATGTTGTTGATCTGGTTCGCAAGGTTGTACTGGTGTTGTCAAGGGAAGTGCAGGGCATGGCAAGCACTCTGTGGTCGTTTCGTTGGAGTGTCGTCGATGTTGTTGTCGGGCGGCCTGTTCGGTATTCCAGGGAACGCACGCCAGCTCTGAAAGGATCCAGACCCTCGGGGCGGCAGTCCACTCAATTCTTTGGTTGGCAGCACGGTATGCTGTAGACGCGTAATTCGAGCAACTCGGTCGTAGGAAAGCCGGAAGAGAGGACCGGGGAACAACTGATGCGCTGCGGGTGGACGTGGCTCTGCACGTGGGACGGATGCGAAATGTCGTGGTCAGATCGTCGTAGCTAGTCCGGGAAGCCAGGTACCAGCGACTGCCAAGCGTTGTGTCGCTAAGCAACAACTTCAAGTCGAGCAACCTATAGAAGTAGTCAGGTGTTGCTGGTGTTGTCTCGAGACGACCGATCAGTTGAAGGAAATTGGAGCGGAGAGTCACTCTTTCCCTGGGTGCCAGTCCCAATCTCGCATTCTCGGCGCGAACACGGGCGGTATTGGATGCCTCCGTGGAGCGTACCCTTGCCCCTGTCTCTCACCCCGAAAAGATACCTACAGCGATCCTCGCCTGGGAGGGCTACAGGGGGTTGCAGGGGGTTGTTGGGGTGCTGTGGCATTGGGTGGAACCCTGAAAGAAGGACCAGCCCAGTGACTCGGCAAGGCCTCAGTAGCGCTGTCTCAGCGCCAATCAGTGCTGAGGCAGGGAGATTTAGCTTCTCGTTTCATCAAATGATGTCAAGGTCCCCCGCTGGCCGTGGCTGATGCTATCCCAATATGGCGCTGTCTTTATTTGAACCTGTGGCTTGCACAGGTCATGGAATCCTCCATCAAGATCAGGCGGTGACTCGTGTTGAGACGCATCCGAGGTGTCCGAGATTGCATCTTGCCGGCCAAAGCAGATAAGAAGATTTCACGCACATATGTATGAGGCTATGACCTTTGGCAGCGACATGTCGCAGAACGACAAATGCAACTTGCCATTCTGAGAGTTTTCAGTGTAGTCCTTTAGACTTTGGAACGCAACAGGTGGCGCAGCAGGCGGGTCCTTCCCGCGTATGCTAAAAGCTGGTGCGACAGCCTAAAGTGAATGCCATCTTGAGATCTGCGGCGGTTGGGCGGGAATGAATGTGCTCAGCAGAACGCTGTACCTCAACTTGAAAACAATGAATTGCCAGCGCGACAGCAAAGAACTGTCATCACCACTTGGCTACCTTGACTATGGAAGACTATGGAATGAGACTATTAGTGATCCATCTTCGCTCTCCTGAATTGGCGACGCAGCCACGGACTGAGAATCTCCCTCCCTAGTAGAACGACCAGTAGCGATTGGTGCTCCTAAGGCCCAATCAGGAAGCCAGGGGTGAAGGTACCCAACGCTTATCGATAAGGGAGGAACGCGTCGAGCATCGCGGGTCCGCTTCAATTGTGCATGGTAGCAGGTAACGACGGCTCGACTACCAACGCGCTCTCGACAAGCCATACGCCAGCTATCAGCATGCCGAGGTACTTCGATTAAGCTCCACAGGATTCATGACTATCACTAACACCAGACAACAGGGAGATCATCACAATTCAGGCCGGCCAGTGCGGCAACAGCAGTCAGTTACCCCGCCATTGACCGCGTTCGGGTCGTGAGCCTCATACCGCCAGGAGGTACATGCTAACGATTCCGCAGTTGGCAGTCAGTTCTGGCAGCAACTGTGTCAGGAACATGGCATCAGTCAAGACGGCAACCTTGAAGACTTCGCGACTGAGGGTGGCGATCGAAAAGACGTCTTTTACTATCAGAGCGACGACACGAGATACATTCCAAGAGCCATTCTGATTGATCTTGAACCACGCGTCATCAACGGTATACAAACAGGACCCTACAAGAACATATACAATCCCGAAAACTTCTACGTCAGCAAAGATGGTGTGGGTGCAGCCAACAACTGGGGTGACGGCTACCAGACTGGCGAGAAGGTGTTTGAGGACATCATGGAGATGATTGACCGTGAGGCCGATGGTAGCGATTCGCTCGAAGGCTTCATGATGCTGCACTCCATCGCAGGTGGCACTGGATCTGGACTTGGGTCATTTCTCCTCGAGCGTCTGAATGACCGATTTCCGAAGAAGATCATACAGACGTACTCCGTCTTCCCCGACACAACGAACGCTGGCGATGTCGTTGTTCACCCCTACAATAGCGTGCTGGCCATGCGACGTTTAACACAAAATGCGGACTCTGTGGTGGTGCTTGACAACGGTGCTTTGTCAAGGATCGCCGCCGACAGACTGCACGTCCACGAGCCGTCCTTTGCACAAACTAATCAACTTGTACGTCATGTCTGTCTCCATCGCAAGGCACCATGCTGACCAGCTAGGTTTCCACTGTCATGTCTGCGAGCACCACGACCCTGAGATACCCTGGTTATATGCACAACGACCTTGTCAGCATCTTAGCCTCCCTCATCCCGACCCCACGCTGTCACTTCCTGATGACATCCTACACCCCGTTTACTGGCGACCAAGTTGAGCAGGCAAAGACTGTTCGGAAGACCACAGTGCTGGACGTGATGAGGCGGCTTCTTCAACCTAAGAACAGGATGGTGTCAACGCAACCTGGGAAGAAGAGCTGTTACATCTCTATTCTCAACGTCATTCAAGGCGAAGTTGACCCGACTGATGTCCACAAGAGTCTTCTTCGCATCCGAGAGCGAAGATTGGCAACTTTTATCCCCTGGGGTCCTGCAAGCATCCAGGTCGCATTAACAAAACGGAGTCCCTACATTCCAATGGCACACCGTGTTAGCGGGCTGATGCTAGCTAACCACACGAGTATTGCCACGGTACGTCCGCACATGGTGCTATCCAAACATGCTACAAGGCCGTCTAGCTAATGAACCGCAGCTGTTCAAACGAATCGTCAAGCAGTTTGATGGTATGCGGAAACGAAATGCCTTCATGGAGGGCTACAAGAAAACGGCTCCCTTCGCAGAGAACCTCAACGAATTCGACGAGTCTCGTCAGGTGGTGCAGGACCTGATCCAGGAATATGAGGCGGCCGAGGACGCCAATTACCTGAACCCTGAAGCAGAAATCCCAACTTCTGCAGAGACAGACAAGAGAATGGGTTGAGGATCCTGAGGAGAAAGCGTCGTGTAACTTAGTGGGGATGGCGCGCCAAGAATGAAGGCATGACATGATTGTACCTGAGCGCTTTGATATGACAAGGTTTCCGGCATCTTCCATTGGGAGAGTTAGGCGTTTGGGGCTAGAGCATCCGTACCTGGGATCGCGACACGAGGGCAATAGCCTGAAAGGATCTGTTTGACAAACCATGCACGGCATTCTGTGCCTTAGCTAGTGATGACCCTTGACACGCGTGGGTGATGTGTGGAGCTGTGATCTGATAGGAGTGTTTGCTCCCAGCCAGACCCACGGATCGCGATCTCTCTGTACAACAGTCTTGCCTGCCGAGGAGCCTTCAAGCGCAGATATGGATACCAAAATTCTTCAGACTACATTGAATACTCCACCTGCACAAGGTACCTGCGAGGGCAACGCATCTACAAGAGGCCAAAGTGTGACACTTCTCCACAGATCGAGGATCGGTATGGTTTCCGTCGAATCTGACTTCATTCTTGACGTCATTGACGTCAGCGGGGTCAGGAGCTTTGGAGCTTGAGGCGACCTGCTTCATATAAGAAGAACAACCTTTAAGAAGACCTTTTTATCTCATTGACTGATACATTACACATCCATACCACCGTCCAATCCTGCTAGTCTCTCCATCCTCAAACACCAAACACCCGCTACTATTCGCACTACCCCCAACGACAACAATCAGTATGTCTGCCTGAATTCAGCCGCATTTTGTGTCCTTCCTAACAGTCGTAGAAATGACGAACATGCACGTTCCCAAGGGCGATAAGATCGAAGAGACCCGCGCCAACCTCCCCCTTCCCGAGCAGCCCCCTGTCGCCTCTGATTGGCAATCCGCCGACGCATCCAAGGTCAACGTCGGCAGCGGCGGCGACGCTGAGGCGGACATTGGAACTGGTTCTGCCGCGCAGGCCGGTCTTCGCGAACCCGCATCTAAGAACGACGCGGATCTGAGCAACGTCGGACGTCAAGGCAAGGACAACCTGAGCGGTCCCCCCAAGGATGCTGCTGCGAAATGAGATAGAGTAAAACTGGGAGTAGGACAGCGTTTGGCTTTTTAAAAGTTATCATGACTAGATGATCAATCCAACAACGTCAACATAACGATCTACCAATATTCACTCATCATGACTATCCTCCTGCGTGTTGCCTCTGATTCATCTATGTGTATGATGATTTGTCCACGAGTACAGCTCCCCATGCAGTGTGTCTCAAGGCTGATAATGCGGCTATTCAAGTATTAGGAGTGTGTATCAATGCACGGGATTCACTACATCAAACCCTGCCTCCAGGGGATTATCATTCACAACAGTGGTCATGGGATTCAGTGGATTACTCAAGAGTATCCCCCAATACAATTCTCGTCCCCTGGTTTAAAGGCAACTCGGATCCAGGCAGAAGTTTTCAACAAGGTAGGTGCTCACTTGAGCCCACAGCCCAAAGACAATCAAGCATATCTTGCTCAGATTGACGACACCGGTGAAGAATTCCCAGGCAGCAGTTGAGAAAAACAAAGGGCACTCTTGATACTCCCGCTACCTATTGTGGAACTGACGCTTCTCGCCTGCCATTTTCTGTAACCCTGACAATAAATCCTCAAACCAGCTCCGCATTGGTCACCCGATGCGATTTCACCCAGGAGAAGCTTTCCGGCGTCTTCCTCATAGGCTTTGAAGGTCATACCAACGTACTGAAAGCGCCCTCCTCCGTCCAGAACTAAGGGCCCCGTTCAACAAAGCCCCAAACTGATACAACTATCCCTTATCCTGGTCTTTCTTCTTAGTCGAGTTGGCTTGAGGCGCCGTGGTAGAGAGATCTCTTTTGCGGAAGTGAGCATGCAACTCACACACCCTGTACCTATGAATGTTGACATTCTCATGTACTGACACACAGGGCTAGATTCAAAAAGTCCATGCCACCAGGCATCGATCCAACATTGGTTCCACCCACAGATACATTCAACAAAACCTCCTCTTCAGAAGCACGCTGCTTCATTTTAACAATCAAGTGCGCCTGCGCCACTGGAAAAGGGGTCATGCTTTAACCCATTGGGATACTTTAAGTACCTACCTTAGATACCTGGTATACCTACCTAAGGTATGCTTTACCAAAGGGCATAAAGTGACGTAGGTATTCATCGGGTTCCTATTCGCGAGGCAAGACCTGTATGTACCTTGCACCTTCCCAGTCTCAAGGCCCTCCGCCTCTGCCCACCTGTTAGGCCTACCTACCAGTTGATTCATTGATTTTCCTCCTACGACCAGGACCCTTCAATCGTCATCTCTGTCTGACTTGCCCTACCTAACCCCGCCCACCGAAAGCCCACCTATCCACCAGGTGGCCAAACGTCTTGGGAGGCATCCTCCACAGCGCGAAAGCTGCCTCCAGCCAAAAAATGGCGACCAATATTGAGTTCGAAAATGCCATCAGAAATGCTATGCTGGTAGGTTCTGTGCCGTTGTAGGCGCTCTTCCATGGCCGTCTGTTGTCTCCAACGAGGCAACTCGTTCTTCAGAGCTGACAGGTGAAGCAGAGTGACCTTGGTCTCAACCGCAATGATGAACTGCCAATGGAGAACTCTCATAATAGAAAGATCACTTATGATCCTGGACGTCGCGCATCACGCGCCGTAGGAAAGACCGCCAACTCGGCGTGGAAAGGTATGTAGCTCCTGACGACCTTTTGACTAGACTGACCACTCGAAGCTGTCGGAGAAAAGGGAATCGACGACGAAGAGGCTCGCAGCGTTCAAGGTCTGGCTGATCTTGGTGGCGGTCGTATGCATGCCGCCCAGCATGACGCTGAAAGCCGAGATCGTAGTGAGCAACTTAAGCAGATCAATAACCGACTCCGTCCGCAGCAACTGTAAGAGCCCTCTTGAAGAAGATTTTGGCACTTGACTAATGGTCAACAGCGGTACTTTGTCCAACATTACCAACTTTGGTGGTCTCGATCGTCCTGGAGTCCCAGTCAAGGTCTTCAACCCGAAAGATATGAAGCTATCCGACAGCGCGAATGGGAAAAATGCAACTCAAAACCGTATCGATGAGCATCAATCCGCAAAAAAGACCTCTGAGAATCGCTTCCACGGTGATCCTAAAGCGAATCTGGCGTCCGCCCGGGTTGCCGCCGTCGTTGCTCCCCATCTACGGTCAAAGGCACAGGCTGCAGAAATACTGTCGAGCAAGAATTCTCAAAAGTTGCAATCTGGCTCACAGGCCGAGCAGCATATATCAGACCCAAAGAAACAAGCTCAGTCCCAGCCGCAGCCTCCCCATACTAAGGTGCAAGAAATTACACAACCATCGGTTGAGACGCATGGAAACCCCGCCAAGACCCTTGATAGATCATCTGGGAGGGTTCTTTGGGCGTGGTCTACAGACTGCAAGGCCAAGATCACCCCGAGCACTGGCTTGAAAACGGTTGACGCTAAGGTATTACTGAAGATGATCGAATTTGGCAACGGCCGACAACAGGCAGGCTTCATACTACGTTATATCAACGATAGCATTGACTGCGATATCGATGACCCTGTCATACTCGTCAAGGGCAGTGAAGCTCAGGCAGCGACTAGCAAATACGTCAACCTCGTATACGACATGACATCGTATCGAGCCAATGACGGCCAGCACAAAGACAACTGGTGTGACGTTTCTTTCGTGTCCGGAACCAAGAAAAAGGATATGACGCTCTTATTCGATGACGCAGAGACGATGAAAATGTTTCGTGGAGCCGCTATTGCCTTGCAGACCTCTCTGAGCATCAGCAGACTTACCCCTGAACAGAAGATCAGCCTTCAAAATCGTCTGAATGCACAGAAAGCTGCGGCCGTGGGGTCTAAGGCTGTTGTCGGGATGGATATTATTGAAAGCATCCCAGACACTACGCCAGCCAAGACCACCAATGATGCAACGAAGTCTGCAGTTGGGCCGCCGAACCTCGACTCAGTGAAGCCGAAAGACGACACCAAGGACAGCACTAGAATGGTGTCCAAGATCGAGGACCCTGATATCTTAAATACAGCTGGTGTTGAAAAGTCTGTCAGCGTCGTCTTTGAAGGAAACGGGCAGACGCCTCAAATCTCTCCCAGGCACGACATTATCAAATACAGCCCGGGCGCTTTGAGAAGCATGAGCAGCACCCCGACTCAGGTAATCCCACCGCTGGAAAACTGGCAATACACCGAGTCTGTCTTGACGGGTGGTCGTCTCAATGAGACACCAAAACCCGCGGAGTCTTTGAAGCAGGCGTCGATGAATGCAGGCCCCATCACTAGAAATCTTGCCACCCTATCGACGAAGGGTGAAGATTCTAAGACTCAAGATTGTGGACAGCCTGAGATTGTCATTAACTTTTCAGCACCATCCACCAGTATCAAAGGTACCGAGACCAGAAAATGCAAATTCGCGCCTGAATCAAATGAGCGGCTGAAGTCTAAGGCTACATTCGACTTTGTCAGCCCTTCCGGTGCCCCTGCGATGCCAATAGTTGTTGCCGCCAAGGCCAAGCCTGAGGTAGAGTTCAACTTCAACACTCTCCCTGGCTCACCGAAGAAATCGGCAGCCAAAGACACCGGGGACAGGGCCACGAAGAAGTTTAGTACTGGAAGCACTCTAGATGATTCTTCAACGCCCGAACTAAAGGCTGAAAGAACCCTGCCAACGCCCCAGAAATCCACGGCCTTCCGTCTCGAGAAGACCAGGGAGACCAGCCGGCCTCAAATAAACACGACCCAGGAGAACGATTCTATACCTCAACAGGCCCCAGCAGTTACTATTCTCAAAAGTCCCACTCCTCATCACTCCCACGAACAAAGTGCGATTGACAGGGAGCTTGGACAAGCCTGGTCGATGTTATCCATGATGAATAGCCTCAACGCGATCGATGTCGTGGAGGAGACCACCACAGTCAAGACTACCAGACGGTATGTTCTTCCCGTAGGCGCCTCTTTTCCGGGTTCGGGTCACGGCCAGATGAACATGCCACAGCCTGCGTCCAGTGGTGTTGTGGCCGATGTGAAGAGCGTACCTGATGCAGCCACCAGGCTGTCGGGAGACGCCCCGGTCTTCCAGCCCAGTCATGGCGGCACTTTTCAGCGTGCGCCTGCCCAAGGATCCCATGTGGGTGCCAAAAGTCAGCAGCAGCACAAAGGACTCGCCAACTCGAAGTTTGCACAGCCCTCACAAGGCTTCAGCCACGCGGGCCGATTCACAGGAACCATGCTCGGGTAGACTGCCGCGGGTGCAAAAGTGAATGACGAGTAGTATCAGAGCGTCGGCAGTGATTTGGGTTGGGAGGGGGGTAGGGTTGGAGTACCACTCTCTGAGTACGATGGGGCAAGAGGAACGCGCGACAATGATGATGGATGCGAGAAGGCGGCCTCGGAGGGGATTCTTGCATGGACTAGTGACTGAAACTGGTGATTGACACCAGCCGGGGAGAGCCGTTGGCTTTCGAGTATTTGATGAGGCGTTTGGAATTTTCTTCTTTTTTTTGTCTTTTTTTTTTTTTTAAAAAAAAAAGAAAAACAAAAAACAATGGGAGGCTTGTCCCGAAGATTCGGTCGAATACTGCGTAGGTAGTTTCATAAGGAATTAGGGATCGCCTCTACCATGCTGGCGATTTCTATCTCTGGTCTAAAAAAAAATGGTTGTCATGATATGGGCATTCCATGTTCATAGTTCAGTATTGGTGTATCTCCCACCTCACTCGTGCACCCAGCTGCCATCCTCCCGGCTGACGATGACCTCGTGGACGTCAAGGCGGTGGTCAACAATCTCCCTGCCGTTGACGAGGTCATTCTCACGAGCGCGCCTGTCTGCGTCTTCCTCGTTGCTGGCGATGCCAGCACGGACATGCCGCTTGACGAGACGCCGGCGCGCGACGTCAAAATCGACGTCGACGAACCACAGCTCGTCCATGAGGGCGGCGGCGTCGCGCCACACGGGGCGGTCGAGCGCGACGTAGTTGCCCTCGAAGACGACGATGCGGTGCGTCAGGTCGACGGCGATGTCGTCCTCCCGCGGGTCCTTGATGGCGTGGTCGAAGCTCGGGGCGCGGATAGTGGGCGTGTGCGGCGTCAGGGGCGCGCGCAGGGCGCGCACGAGGGCGAGGAAGGCCTCGCCGTTGAAGGTGTAGACTGCGCCGCGGCGGGCGTGGGCCTCGGCTGGGTTGGGCAGCGCCGACAGCTGGGCGCGCGTCAGGTGGTAGCCGTCCATGGGGACGAAGGCGGCCGGGGCCGAGACTGGGGGGTTGGAGGAAGAGGGCGAGGTGGTGGAGGTCGAGGCGGCTGCTGCTGCTGCTGCTGCTGCTGCGAGGGCGTTGAGCCGGGTTGTGATGATGCCGGAGAGGGTCGTCTTTCCGGAGCCGGGAATGCCGCCTATGGCGATGACTAAGGTGAGAAACGTCAGTTCATCTCTGTTTTGTGGTGGTTATGTTTGGCGGGGTGCGGTGCTGTCAGGCGAGGTGAGTCTGGTGGTATAGGGTGGTGGGATGACGTACGTAGTCGTTGGTTTGGTGGCGTGGACTGGTATTTCTCCCAGGCCTTGGAGACCAGGTGGTCGACTTGAGATTCCATACTTGTAGCTGATAGGATGGCAGATATCTCAATTTGAGGGACGAGGAGGTTCGATGCGCTTTAGCCGACTGGAGCTTGTGGGTGAAACGAGAACCGATGGCTCATTGGCGATGGGTGAGGATGAGAGCGGTTTCGGGGTCGTGAGAAGCTATAGTGGGTCACAGGCTGAGTGACATAAGGCATACGGAAGACTGTCCATGAACACATGAGCATCGACCGGAGCTGTCGGTGGGTTACGGGCTACGCTGATCTGGCAGCTTGACTGGCGAGTGCGGGGCCGTTGGGACGGCTTGAATCGCCGTTGATTTTCGCTCTGCTGGAGCCCGTCTCGGCGACTGATGATGGCGTGGGGGGACCAACGACAGGGGTCTTTTTGCTCGTCATCAAGGATGCAACGTTCGATGCCTGCTTGTTGCAGCTCCCGTAGCTGCCCTGTCTCAGCAAGATGCCTGGTACATATGCATCTCGGGTATACTCTCCATGCCCGAACACCTGAGCTATCTACCTGCTGCACCCAAGCACATTGCATACCCAGGGAGGTATGATAGGTCCCTGTTGCGCCTGACATGACACATTTCAGGGCAGACAAACTCAGGGAGAGCAACTACATCAGAGAGGGCAAGTATAAAGAACACAGACACCCCGTGCTCATGTTGCCTCATCTCACAGACGCATTCGAAGCGGCCATTGCCAACTGCTGATTGCTTAGGTTCCTCGCAGGCTCGACTACGATGATCGCGGTAGCATTGCTTGGTGGTGGCATATTTGCTCGAGAGCGTACGTGAACCTGCCTGCAGAGGCCACCCCGATCCTCTACACTGGAATCCTCTTCTCGCCCGGCCATCGCCGAGAAACCCAGTCATCTTCTCCGTACGTTCTTCTAGACCAAACGCTAATGCAGCATGATAGAATACATACCAGCCATCCGAGGCTCCCCATCTCTCACCCTGCGAGCCGTGTACTCTCGATCCGAAAAGACAGCCGCCGCCGTCTCGGCCAAGGTCGAGCCCAGGCCAGACATCTACTATGACAGCCCGAACAAGGAGAACTCCTCGCTCGACCATCTTTTGTCCCGCGCTGACATATCTGCCGTCATCATCTGTCTCCCGATCCCCGTGCAGGCGGGCATCATCCGTCGCGCCCTGGCGGCAGGCAAGCACGTCCTCAGCGAGAAACCCATTGCGCGCGACGTCGCGACGGCGAGCGCCCTCCTTGCCTGGCACGTGAGCCGGCCGCGCACGCCCGTCTGGGCCGTTGCCGAGAACTTCCGCTTCAACGAGAGCCTGCAGTACGCCGCCGCCAGGCTGCGCGACATCGGGGGGCAGCTGGTGACGTTTCGGCTGGCCTTTTACACGTGTGTTCAGAAGGACAACAAGTACTACCAGACTGAATGTATGTACTTGAATCTCGAAACTCGTACTCGCGGAGCCAACCTGACGGGGCATTTCGAGAAATAGGGCGCCAAACTCCGGATTTCCAGGGCGGCTTCCTCCTCGACGGGGCCGTGCATTTCATTGCCTCGCTTCGGCTTTTACTGTGCGCGACGGGAGACACGATCAACAGAGTCATGGCAGCTTCTGCGCTCCTCCAGGAGCACCTCGCCCCCGTAGATACTATCCATGCCGTCGCCTTGACAGAATCCGGCCGAAGCGGCACCATCAGCCTCTCTTATGGCATAGAGCCCAGGTCTGACCTCGAGATCGTCATTATTACAACAAGAGGCTCCGTCACCTGGTCGCCGGTGAAAATTCAAGTGACCGATGCAACAGGTCTGGTGAACAAGGTTAAGGAATTCATCTACGACAATGCTGTGAGGGCCGAAATTGAGGCCTTTTGTAGGAGCCTGCCAGGTGGAGTGTCTGATCAGCTGCAAACACCCTTAGAGGCATTGGGAGATCTGAAGGTTCTGCAAGCTCTTCTCGAGTCCGGAGAAGATGGTGGAACACCTAGAGACATCACAAGCTAAGACAAACTCTCCGTTCACTAGGATATATATGTAGAAGAAGGAGAGGAAGACAACTTCATTTATGTTAGGGATCACCTCAAATGTAAGAGTGAAAGAGCCAATCGAGAAAGCTATGAAGACCGGGATGTCGGATCCTCCACTGTCGTCGTAGTCACCGCTCTCCTCGGCTTCTTTTCAAACAGAAATAGAATCGAACCGAGGGCAGCCAAGGAAAAGTACAACATGACCCTCATTTGCCGCGAATAGGCCTCGGCGAAAATGACCCTCGTCGCATACTGCTTTTCCGGGGGCAGCAAGGCGATGTTGCCTGACGATGACAATATGCTAGCAAGTTCCGTCGGCGTCAAGATGGCCGAGGCTTGAGACCTAATGTGGTCAATAAGCAATGCAGAGCAGACGGCAAGGCCAATTGTGCCGCCTAGGACACGGGTTTGTGTCACAGCGCCCATTGTCACGGCTGTTAGAGTCGCACTTGAGTCAGCCAGGCATCCGGTCTTGGAGCACAGAGGGCCAAGGACCATGGTCAGAAATCATACCTAGGTCTTTCTCTGAGACGATAATGGTTGCCATCATTAATATGGTTGCTAGATTGAAGCCAAACCCAAGGCCCATGATGACCTGATAGCCGTACTGTGCATCTGGGACCCTCAGAGTGGTCGAATCAAGTGAGCTGAACAACCCGACGCCAATGACCTGAAGCACACCGCCCAGGGTGAGGACGTAAAGCGGGGGAACTTTGAGCTTCGTAATCAACACGCCGGAGAGAGCGCTTGCCACCGGGGATAGAAGTAGCAGAGGTAGCATGCGGAGTCCAGCGCCGATGGCGGTTGTCGAGTTGACCGTCTGCAGCCGCTGCGGAATATTGATTATTGCGGCCATGAAAGGGAAGCCCGTGAGAAAGCCATTTCTGCAGGATTGTTAGCGTCATTTGTCCCTCTTTTCAGCGTGGTAAAGTGTCTTGAAGAGTCGCTACTCACAGAAGCAAACCAACGACAAATCGGTTTGAGGTCAGACGCCAGGGGAAGATGGGCTCGCAGACGCCGCTCCTTCCCGACAGCTTGCGCTCCCAGGCGATGAAAGCCAGCCACAGAGTACCAGACAGGACAAACGTTGAGATGATGGCGCCACTGTTCCAGGCATACTCTACGCCCCCTTGCTGGAGAGCAAATATAAGGAGAATGGATGCGGCCAACGAAAGGGTCGCGCCGAGCAAGTCAATGCGTTTCCACCTCTTTTCCGAGATCAAGCTGCGGAAGAATGTAGTCGAGTCGCCATAGGGGAAGCCAAAGGGTATCGCGAGCGCTACGAGTGCGGCTGCAAGGGCTCCGCCTGGGCCGCTGCGAAGATGACCCGTCAGTGACTTCGGCAAAAAGTATTGTGAGGTTGAAGACTGACTTGAGGTAAAAGACCCACCGCCAGGTGGTGTTGTCGGTGATGGCGCCTCCCAGAAGAGGGCCGAGAACACTAGAGATGGCGAAGACGGAGGTTACAATGGCGATGTATGTTGCGAACTTGGGACGGAGGGGACCATCAGCGGAAACCATGATGGGGGAGAGCGAATAGATGCCAGAGCCTCCCATACCCTGGAAGAGCTCTGAAAACGATCCTGTCGTGGGACCCAAATGAGATTAGTATGTTTGATATCCGCATTTTCGCGCCCTTCAGGGCCATAAAGGCAGCACTATAAGTGAAGCAGAATACAGTGACATAACAATGGCAGCATAGACTCGGGAAGCACCGCAGGCAATGGAAAAAATGGTGAAAAGAGTGATGGCAGAGACGAGCATCAACTTGCAGCCAAGAATGTCACTCAGTTTTGCAAAGATGATCAGGAAGCCTGGGGGCAAAATTCATGTGGTCAATAGTGAACTGGCGCGACGAAACATCAAGCAACGCATACGGGACCACGAACCAGTGTATGTCAACAGATAGGAGGTCACAATCCAGCTGGCCCTATCGAAACCTTGAAGGTGGTCGACGATAGACACCAGAGAGGTACTCACGATGGTGGTCTCCAGGGTCGAGAGCAGCAAGCTGAGGCATAGTCTGTTGAGATATGGCGGTGGTTAGCAAGAATGTATGTATGCCTAGCTTGCCAATTTGGTAGGCTGCTGCTGTACAGAGGTGGAGGGATTTACCCTGCTGTCAAGGCATGGAGCTTCCATCCAGTATGGTAGACCTTTTGTCGAGTTTGAGTGGCCACGTCGGGGGGGTGGATATCTGGCGGCGTAGGGTCTGCTTCTGCTTCTGGACGGGACAAGGCGACGCTGCCATTGCTGGTGGCATCTTTGCCCCCCTGACCGAGATCGGCATCAGGTTCCGGGTTTCCGAGGAAGGGAGGAGGCGTTTTGGGCTCGCCAGAAGACGGAGAAACATCCATTGGAAGAAGAGGAGCGAGAGGTGAATCCAGGACTTGACAGAAGGGAAAAGGAGCGAGGAAAGGTGGCACGACGAGGAAATGGCTGAGAACTGCAAGGTTGATCGTGATCGGGCCCTTGAACGATAAAAAAGAGGGCGATAAGTGCCGTGACACGAACGGCGTGGATTGGATAGGCGGAGGTTCGAGGGGCTTCGAGATGAGGCGTGTGAATGGTGAGTGTGGATGTCGAGCCGGCGAGTGCCTGAATAGATGGTTATCGAGACAAAAGACGAGGCAGCCAACTGGCAAAGCTGGGAGATGGACACCCAGGTGTCGACGTACAAAGAGTGATTGCCAACTGCCAATGCTTGCTCACACCCATGCCGAATGGCCCATATGACTGGCCATTTCCACCTTTCCACCGGCCGGCCAATGCAGTGTAACAGCCAACGGCCTATGGCTGACGTGCGTGTCGAACGATGAGAGGCAGAAATAGGAGACTCAACACCAGCACGCCATGCGCATCTTGAAATCCGGTCTTCACCTGATGAGGTACCTCTTCCTCGGTCTTTGATGGCTTGGAGGCGTCCGCGGTCAGGATCTCCTGGCGATGGTCGCAGACAGCAACTGGGAACGGCGAAGAGAAAGAGCAACACATCTGTGGTGGGCCGGAACAAGTTCTCCGGGAGAAACTGCTATGCTGCTTGGTGCATTCAAGCATCTCGGCTTGTTCTCTCCTTCGAGGTTGGATGTCTTGCAAACACCTTTGCGATATTGAGCGGCGGCTACTTCCCCCCACGGATCATGCAACATGATCAACCGCACATGATAGGGGCTTCAGAAATACTTGAGTCTACGTCCTTCGAGGTACTTGAAAAGAATCGGGGCTCCTGGAGAACTTAGCCACTCGGATGCGACCATGCCCTGTGCCGCAGCTGCGTCCCGTCCGGTACCTGGTTGATTGTAGCTACCTCACCTGCTCTATCTATGGGTACCTGCGGAAGCTGCAGCCCAGGGGCCTTCTACAAGGCAGGGGTCATCCGAACTTCAAGCAACCTCGCAACACAGCCTCATGCCTTGCCGTCACACATCATCCAACAACCACTGTATCAACCACGACACACCACCAACATCTTCTTATGTGACAAATCAATCAATCACAGAAGATCCATCCTGGGTGATCCTTCACCCATGGCGTTGAAACAGAGTCAACATCAAAGGATGCATCACGTCGCGGTAGACGGGCCGAACTGACATCGTCGATGTCGATGTCGACGGCGACGGAACGTCACAAGTCTCGAACCACTGGCCGAAAACAAATCACGCATTGTCTAGATTCTTTCTCGATACTCCATCAACGTGACATTGCGTATGACTGCATTGCCAGGATTCATCTCCTTTGATGGCATCCTGGTCACAGACGCTCTCGCAGCCCGTCCTCATCCGCACCATTCACACCAGCCCGCCCGTTGATCAGGGCGATGTCCGCCCGCAATGACGATACCGCATCCTCTAGCCCAGCCGCCGCTTGTGCCTCCTCAACCAGGGCCACGATTCTCTCCATGGCGAAGAAGACGGTGTCGATTTTGCCAGAGAGCACCGACAGCATCCGCCCCCGACGCACCACCTGGCAGCTGCGGTCATCCCACGCCCCGCAAGGCTTGGTCTTGATGGCCAGCTGAGGGCCGACGTAGCGGAAGGTATTGGCGAACGAGGGCACGTATCGCGCCACCTGCTCCTCCATGATTGCTCTCTTGGCTGCGATGACTTCGGGCGCTGCCGCCACCCTGTCGCGCGCCGCCCTCGCTTCGTGGGGGCACAGGAACTGACCCAGCGGCGTGTGCGGTACACTTGACAGCGTGAAGAGGCCCGGCTCTTCTGTTGGGTACACCGAGCACAACGGGCCGTCGACGAGCGTGACGGCTGGGAAATCCACGGGGCCCTCATAGTATAGCAGCAATGTCGGCTCGTACACGACCTCGATCCCCGGCGGCCTCGCGAGGTGTCCCCATGTCGCATCAACCCCGTAGTCGAACCGCTCCCCGTCAATGAAGACTCCGGCTCCCGTGTCCACGATGCTCGACACGGCCTGTCCTAACGCGAGCACACCCGCCAGCTCAGCCGCAAAGTGCGCCCTCGCCTTGGCCAACAGCAGCACCCTCTCCCCCGTACGCACAACGCCTGCCACGTTGGCGAGCTCAACCCCCATGGGTGCCCCCTCCGTGAACTCCACGCCGCTCGATGCCATAACCGCGCGATAGGTCCCATAGTCTAGGAGGGACTCCCGCGATGCCACGGCGTATGTGTTGCATGGTACGCTGCGGCTGAGGCCCGGATACCGCTCGAGGAACCGCAGAAACCCGTCGCGAGACTGGATCCGTGTATCGCTGTGTCGCGCATAGTGAAAGCCCATGTGCAGTCGAAACTGATTGTTACCAGATGCTTCATGCAGGAGCCGCGTGTGTTGCTCAAAGACCTTCACCTCGAAGCCGAGGGCTCGGAGGGATGTCGCGATATGGCAGCCGTAGAAGCCACCTCCGATGATGCCGAAGCTCAGGGGTTCCGCGGAGATTAGCGCCACCATGATATATATGGTACCCTACTGGTCAAGATGGCATGAGAGACAAGGCCTGGCCGTAGTCAGTAGAAGGCTAATTTGTGAGGCTGGGGAGGTGTACTTTGACGACGCCTTTTCCTGGTTGGGAGATGAAGTCAATGGCGGCACAGGAGTTACGCAGTGAAGTTCTTTGCATATTAGAACAGGATAGTCCAAGAGGCATGCAGAAAGCCCACGTCGGGCAGGTAGACGAAGGGCGAGGTCTCCGGTGGAACAAAACCTGCCAAGGGACGAGATAAAGCCGAGCCTGAAGTGATGTAGGCGTCCTACCATGCTGAATATCTATGGGGGTAGAGCGTGCCGTGTGTCTATTTATAATCCCTTACACCTCCGCCATCTTGTCGCCGACCCAACGCACCCGTACGTACTTCTTCAAGTAGAGCATCTGCGAATAATCATCTGTTCTCTGCGTCTATTTGCTCCCAAGTCATCTACGCTTTGCCATCAACATGCGTATCCTTTGTCTCCACGGCATGGGCACTAATAGTAAGGTGAGTTTGTTTCTTTCCTCCATTTCCATCCCCCCTCTCGAGACTCCCACGCTCATGTAGCCTCAGGTGTTCCAGATGCAGACAAGTGAGTGCTGCCTTGTGTGCTCTCCGATCCAATCATCACACTAAAATGAGCCTACGTGAGCAGCCGCTCTGAGACATCAACTCGGTCATCCACAAGCCCATCATTATGAATTTATTGACGGCGGCGAGCCTTGCGACCTGGCGCCCGGCATCGAGACCTTCATCTCTGCTGATGAGGCCCTCGCCTACTACGACCCAAAATCAGCCCCCAGTATCCTCACTGCCATTGATGACCTCTCTTCCTGGCTCACCGAGAATGGGCCCTTTGATGGCGTGATGGGCTTTTCCCAAGGCGCTTCCCTCGCTGCCATGGTCATGGCCCGCGCCCGCTTCGCCAACCCTCCGCTATTCTCCTTTGGCGTCTTCTTCTGCGCCGGCCTGCCATACTGCGAGGACAGCCTGCGCGCCGGCGAGATCAAGTTCCTGCGCGCCGCTGATGGTGTTGAGCCCATGATACACGTGCCCACGGCGCACATTGTCGGACGCGAAGATCCGGACGTCGCGCACGGCACGGGCCTGGCTGAGCTGTGCCAGGAGTGGGGGAGAGTTCTGCTTGATCATGGCGCGGGGCATGAAATTCCGCTGGCTCCTGTGGAGATTACGAAGAACATGGCGAGCGTGGTTGCGCAGGTCATGCGCAAGTCTACCTTCGGACAGTGATGGCTTATGACTTGGTAATAGGGGTAATTGAAGACTGGACACAAAGCTTGATAATTCTTCAATCTGGTGAACAATACCCGAAATGACCAGCTCATGTGAACATGTCACATCATCTGAATATCTTCTCACAAGTTGCTAACCCGGTAAATCATGTAAATAAATCCCCCCAACAGACCAGCCGCGCCGCAAAGCAACAGAGCAATATCGACGTTATTCAGTTTCAGCCATGACATGCGCACGTCGGCCGTCTGCAGATGCATCGGGCGCAGCTCTCGGCCGCGTGGGTAGAAATCCGCATCCTTGACATACAGAGGCGACGAGGTACCGTCCTCCATCTCGACACCACGCGGCTCACGCCCGAGCAGCTGGTGCTCGAACCGGCCGTCCCAGTCGTATAGGTGCTCCTCGATGAGGTCGGCTGCCAGAGACCTCCTCCGAGATGCCACGGCCGCGATTTTGCGGAGGCGAGCCGACTCCCTCTCAAAATCATCCTTCTCGCTGACAACGATGCGCGTTACGCCCTCGGTTAGCTGAGCGGCTGTGAAGTCTTTCTTTTGCAGCCGGACAGCGACACCTGCGGCCTCGAGCCGGAGAGCGTTGTTCATCTGGTCGCCAAAGACGCCCATGGCGATCATGGGCACGCCGTGAAAGACGGACTCGTTGGCCGACGACGGGCCGGCGTGGGTCAGAAAGACGGCAGTCGAGCTGTGGGCGAGAATGGCGCGCTGCGGCGCCCACGTGCAGCTGAGCCAGGCTGGGTGCTCGTTGGCCAGCATGCTGGCGACGGTCAGGCGGCGGTCGCCGCCGGCGGAACGAGGAAAAGGACAGCTGCTCGGACTCAATGCCGCGGCGGCCACGAGACTCAGGGACCAGACTATGCCGTCGATGATGCCCGTAGCGAGGGCCGTATCGAGACCACGCACGATCTTGTCCACCTGCGCGCTGTCGAGAATGACATGCGTGCCAAAGGCGACGTAGCAGATGCGCTTGCGGGCGGCGAAGAAGGACGCAAACGAATCCGGCATGGCCGGCCACGACTCGGAGAGAATAGGCCCTACTGCGTGGACCAGCGGCGGGGTGTCTCGCGGCACCTCGATGCCATAGTACGAGTTGGTGAGCACGAGATGGTCTGGCTTGGACTGCTTTTGCCGCGGCGGCACGCCCTCCTTCTTGCGCATGGAGCGTACGAAGAAGAGCCAGCGCAAGAAGTAGGGTGCGGACCGCAGCAGAAAGGTCATCTCGAAGAGCCGATCCGTCAGGGACGCCTTCTCGCTCGTCAGGCAGCGCTGCTGCATACCTGACTGGCCGGGAATGTACTTTTGCGGCATCACCAACCACGGCATTTGCGGCCACATGACGGCCACAGGGAGCCGAAAGTCAGAGGCCACATCCACGGCAGCTTCGACATGGTAGTCGGCATAGATAAAGTCGGGCCTGGTCTTCCTCACGACGTCTCCGAGCCGCCGGTATGTCTCGGGCCAGAAGGCGTCAAACGCAATCTTGCCGTCGACGATGTCCCGCTTGCCGTCTGCCGTGTCCCAGTCCCACCTGGAGAATCGTCGGTAGTGCACTTCCTCATCGGCCGCCGAGATGGCAGGCCCTACTATGTGAACGGCAGACACGAACGGGTAGGGTTCGGCGAACTTTTGTCGCCCTTCAAGTGTTGCGAACTCAATAGTATGACCTCTAGTGGCGAGTATCGCGCACACTTCAAGCATGGGGGCTGCAGACAGAAATTCAAGTCAGTTTCAATTATCAAATTTTCTTCTTTGATGGTGGTTTCTTTCTTTACTCCTGACATACCGGAGTTTGTAGAGCCCCCTACCGTCACGACGACGAGAAACTTTGCCTTGAAAAGAGTATCCATGGCGGGATAATCCTACGGGATTGAGTCTGTCAACTTGGCTGAAGTCTTTCTTAGGCTGCCTTCGTTCGTTCAACGCGCTTCGAAAATCGAGGTATCTGCCAGCAGTCTGTGGTGCACACCACGCTGCGCAGACTAGCCAATGCAGGTAGATGCCTTGAGTTAGTCGCTTTACTGGCAGTGGCTTAACTCAAGCGTTCATGTGAGCCCCTTTCCCGGGCATGCAGAATCACCTCTCAGTAGGGACTTTTGTCTTGGAGGGACGGGATGGAAATGGAATGAGGAAGATCAACGCCGGTGGCACAATGTGCCAAGCTGGCCTCGCTGTGCCAGTGGCATTCGATTCATCTCCTCACCAACATATTTTGGCATTCCGACCTACCTGAACTGGGCATGATGTTCACACAGAGTACTGGAAATAACCTCTTCAGCAAATCCCCCGATGCTTATCACATGTGGTGCATAACATTGGACAAGTGTTGACGGAAGGAATTTCGCCGATGCAACACTGCTAAACTTGGAGCGAGTTCCACGCAGTCAGTTCGTATAACCACGTCGAAGCCATCCATGCCTACGCCTACCCTTGCCTGGACAATGCCGAGACCATGGCGGCGAACATGGCGTGGCCGTCCGAAGACCGTGGAATTCGTCGCTTCCGAATCGGGCGGTCCCGTGGGGGGTCGCGTCAGGGCGCTTCTCGAATGCACGGGGAAGCTGTCGTCAGCCTTGGCGGAAATGACTCTTGCCTTATCTTTCGTGCGGTCTGCTGAGGGCGACATGCCAAATCTCACGAATCGATCGACGAGTGGCGGGTGGATCAGCGTTTTGACGTCTCTACAGATCCTCCCGGAACACACAGCCTGCATAACCGGCGGTCGGGAGGATCCTGCCGGCCACGGGCACAGGAACAGGTGCGGGAGGGATTTGAAGGATGGAACGGCACATGCGAGAGACACGACGAACTCATTGGTTCGCTAGTAACTTTTATCCGCCGCCGGCTGAGTTGTGACGTCGCAATCGTCTTGACGGGACGAGATTGTGCTTACGCATCGTCAGAGGTGACACGGCACTTCTGTGCATTGCATGAGCGTTTTGACACCTGCAACATGGCATGTTTACTCTGTATGCCTTGCTTGGCATCCCTCGGCACAGCCTTGCCGCCCGTTGGGTGTCGGCGTAGCGATCGCGTATGATCCAATGAACGCGCCACATGGCTGAGAAACGATGATAACGGCAAAACTACAAACTGCTCTCAGCTGACGAGCAAAGAAGAACGGTTCCCATCTCATGTGCACATGGTATGCAGGCACAGCATTCGAGCAGAAAGCCCCCGCTTCCTGCTGAAGACGTCGCCTCACCGGTCTCAAGTTGTGGGGTGGAAGCAACGCGGCCGATGACTGATAGAAAGCCAAGGGTACTTTGATCATTGTTTCTGTAAGTACTTACTCATGTAGTACTACGTTGAGTTCGTCGCAAGTTTGATGCCAATGCATTTCAACGGGTCGGCGTGGATAGACCTGGATGTCACAAGTTGTATCAAGAGTACACTGCAAAAACATCAGAGATTGCAGTTGACCATCGGTTGGCCGTGCTGCGAGTATGGTAGTTGAAAGCGCGTGAAGTCGGGAAACAGTGATGCAAGACTCTTTTTAAGATATGGTAGAGATATCTTGAGAAGGGAGGCGATAGGTCTCTGGCAAGTTTAGGAACAACAAAAATACATAACCATCTACTTGAGTAAAACAACACATAATAACTGGCCTGAATCAGAGCATAATTAGATATCTCACAAGTCAGATAAGCGCCCAATTCTGTCACTTGGCAAGACATCATGGAGAATAGCCATCACCGAATTCAGGATAGGAATCAGGCAATCTCTTCTTGCAGGCAGCGTATACTCGTACCTCCAGGTAGTAACATGTAGACAGACAAGGAGCGTCAGAGTAGCTAAGGAAGTCGCATGGATGATCAGGACGTGGTTTCGTATGGGAAGTAATTAGAACCTAAGAGTGGCGAAGGAATATAAAGGTAGGAAAACCGATCTCGCCGTCCATAAATTGCCGTGATTTAACACACTTTCTCTCTGCATCCAACTTGTAAGCTTTCATCGATAGTGTTGCTGAATGTATATGGCACCATACATTAATCTTTGACCATACGTTCCCTCGTCTCAAATGAAACGAATGAACTCAACATCCTTCATTCATCAAGAACCTATACTCAACATCGTTCTCCTCACACACCCTGATCACACATTTTATTCATAACTTACATTCCGTCACGCTACCCTACGATTCTTCGCAACCATGGAGCCCATCGCCATCATCGGCATGGACCTCAAGTTCCCCGGTGACGCCACGGACGCCGAGTCCTTCTGGGACATGCTGATGGAGGGCCGCTCGGCTTTGCGTGAGATTCCTACGGACCGGTTTAATGTGTCGGCCTTTTACCATCCCGACCCTGAGCGCGCGGGCTCTCTCAACGTTACCAAGGGTCACTTCCTCAACGGAGACATCGCAGCCTTTGACGCGCCTTTCTTCTCCATCACGCCGGCCGAGGCCGCAGGCATGGACCCCCAGCAGCGCGGTCTCCTCGAGTCGACATACCGTGCGCTCGAGAATGCCGGCCAGCCGCTGGAGAAGGTCACGGGCTCCAAGACTGGCGTCTTCGTTGGGTGCTTCACCCGCGAGTACGAGGCCATCATGTTCAAGGAGACGGAGACGCAGCAGCGATACTTCGCCACGGGCACAGGGACGACCATGCTCGCGAACCGGCTGAGCTACTTCTATGATTTGCGTGGCCCCAGCGTCAGCCTCGACACGGCGTGTTCGAGTAGCCTCGTGGCGTGCCACCTCGCGTGCGCGAGCCTGCGGTCCGGCGAGTGTGACACGGCACTCGCCGCCGGCTGCAACCTCTTTTATAACCCAGATACTATCATCCCACTGACAGCCCTGGGATTCCTGTCGCCCGACGGCCGATGCTACAGCTTTGATAGCCGTGCCAACGGCTATTCGCGCGGCGAGGGCTTCGGCATGGTGGTGCTCAAGCGGCTTAGCGACGCTTTGCGCGACGGCGATACTGTCAGGGCCGTGATCCGGGGGTCCGCCAGCAACCAGGACGGGAGGTCGCCTGGCATTACGCAGCCGACGCGCCAGGCCCAGGTCGACCTCATCCGCGCCGCTTATGACGCCGCCGGCCTGGACCTTACCCGGACGCGCTTCTTCGAGGCCCATGGCACTGGCACCCCGGTCGGTGACCCCATCGAAGCCAGCGCTATTAGTGGTGCCTTCTCAGAGCACCGTTCCGCCGCAGAACCTATGGTTGTAGGCGCTGTCAAGACAAACATCGGTCATCTTGAAGGGTCCGCAGGCATCGCAGGCCTCATCAAGACGGTACTCGTGTTGGAGCACGGTGTTGTCCCTCCCAACACGTGGTTCGAAAAGCCTAACCCCAAGATCCCCGTCGACGAGTGGCATCTTCGGTTCCCGACCAAGCCTCTGCTGTGGCCGGGTGAGGGTCTAAGGCGTGCTTCCGTCAATGCTTTTGGCTACGGTGGTAGTAATGCACACGTGGTCCTCGATGATGCTCTCCACTATCTCCAGGAGCACGGCCTCAGAGGACGACACCATACCGCCAAAAAGGCGACCCTGAAGAAGGCCCTTACCAACGGACATGCCGCCAACGGCGTCAACGGCCATGGCACGAATGGTGTTAATGGCCATGAAGTCAGTGATCATGGTCATAGTCGCCATCACTCAACCGCGTGCCTACATCTTCTCAACATTTGACCAAGACGGAGCAGCCCGTATCGCGTCAACGTACCAGACCTTTCTCTCCTCCCGCAAGACGGTTCAGCCGCCGTCGCCAAACTTCCTTTCGGACCTGTCGCACACACTCACACGCCGCACCGCCTTCCCCTGGCGATTCTCCGTCGTCGCCAACAGCGTCGATAATCTCGTCTCTCGTCTCGCGGCCAACCCCTCACCAACCCGCGCCGCCTCAGACCCCCAGCTCGCCCTCGTATTCACAGGCCAGGGTGCTCAGTGGCACGCCATGGGTCGTGAGCTTTTGACCTCCAATCCCGTCTTCAGTGCCTCCCTCTTCGCTGCCGACCGCTACCTGCGCGGCATCGGCTGCGCCTGGTCTCTTGTTGGCGAGCTTCTACAGGACGAGTCAAGGTCGCGCGTCGCCGATGCCGCCTTTAGCCAGCCACTTTGTACGGCGCTCCAGGTTGGGCTTGTCGATGTGCTTGCCGCTTGGGGTGTGCGGCCCGCCGCCGTGCTCGGGCACTCTTCAGGCGAGATTGCTGCCGCGTACGCCGTGGGCGCCTTGTCGCGCGAGGCGGCGTGGCGTTTGGCATACCATCGTGGTGCCCTGTCATCGGCGCTTGCCACAACCACCGGGAGCGACCATCGCCGAGGCGGCATGGCATCTGTGGCCATGAACGCCGAGGATGCGACTAGATACTTCGGTGACAAGCTTGGGGTTGCGGCTGTTGGGCGGGACATTGTCGTGGCGTGCGTCAACAGCCCTCGCAATGTGACCATTAGCGGCAATGCTGAGAGCGTCGACAAAATCCAAAAGGCCCTCGAGGCCGATGGCGTGTTCGCGCGCACGCTTCAAGTGAACAACGGCTACCACTCGCCGCTGATGGAACCCATTGCTGAGGCCTACCGCGCGTCGATCGGTTTGCTCGACACTGTCGATGCTGAAGATGAGAAGAGCCGTCCTGTCTTCTACTCCTCCCTCACCGGAACAACGGCCTCGATAGCAGACCTCCAAAGCCCTGCATACTGGGTCCAGAACCTCACTTCGCCTGTACAATTCTCAAAGGCATTTGCTCTCATGTGTTCGAGTGCAGGACCACAGTTCAAGAAGCTGGGCTCTCGTGGCGCAGCCCATCAGCAGCAGCGGCCTAAGATTAGCGATGTCCTCGAGGTCGGGCCACACGCCGCCCTACGCGGGCCCATCAGGGAGATTCTCGACCTCGCGCCGCAGGTGACGGCTGTTGGCTATGAATCGATCTTGCGCCGCAACACGTCGGCCACCGACACGGCCCTGACGGCGGCTGGCTGGCTGTGGTGTCGTGGCCACTCCATCGACGTGGCAACGGCCAACGACGCGGCCCATGAAGACAATCCTATTGCTTCTAGTCGCCTCCTCACTGAGGCGCCCGGCTACCCCTTTAACCACGCCAACCGGTATTGGAATGAGAGCCGCATCAGCCGTGGCTACCGCTTCCGCCAGGCCATCCGCCACGAGCTTCTCGGTGCCCCAGTGCCGGACTGGGACCCGGCGCACGCCGTGTGGCGAAACTACCTCCGCCTCGTCGAGAACCCCTGGGTCAAGCACCACCGCATCACAGGTGCCACCATCTACCCGGCAGCCGGCATGCTCGTCATGGCCATTGAGGCTAGCCGCCAGACAGCCGACCCCTCGCGCGTCGTTCGAGGCTTCCGCATCCGTGACGCCCGCTTCGCCGTCGCTTTGCGTGTGCCCTCCTCCCAGACGGGTATTGAGACGCACTTTTACTTGCGCCCTGCACCCCGCGATCACCCGGACACGGCGCTGCAGAGTGTGCGTGAGTTCGCCTTGAGCAGCTACGAGGGCGGCGAGTGGCACGAGCACTGTCGCGGCCTTGTCGTCACCGAGTACGAGCAGCCGCCCACCGCCGTTGACGGCGGGCGCGAAGAGTCGTCTTTCAGACAGGCATGCCTCGAGACCTTGGCACGCGTAGAGGCCGAGGCCAGAGCTGAGACATCGTTCCGCCAGCTCTACGAGCACCTGTCGACCGTCGGCCTCGATTTCGGTGCTACGTTTCAGACACTACGCGACATACGCTGTGGACACGATGTCGGAGCTGCCGTCGCCACGGTTGAGCGCCAGGATCTCGAGGGCCTTATGCCCCTGGGCTACCTTCAGGAGCACCTTGTGCACCCCACCGTCCTCGACGGCATTCTTCAAAGCATCATTGTGTGCTTGACAAAGGGCGGCCGAGATATGAACCAGGTTATGGTCCCCTCCGAAATTGGAGATATCTGGGTTTCGGCATCGCCCACGGCCAAGTTCGAATCGGTACGCGTCACCTGCGAAGGTTCGTTCCTCGGTATGCGCCAGGCTGAGGCGCGAATCGTCGGCGTTGACGTGGTCACCGGGGAGCCAGTCTGTACTGTTGATGGTTTTGTCATCACCTCCGTCGCACGCGCCGAGACGAGCGCCGAAGCGGCAGCCTCAGCAGCGGGCAGGCGGCTCTGCTTTGACCTCGACTGGAAGATTGATCCAGCATTTGTCGACCAAAGGGTCGCGAATGACGTTTTCCAGCCTGATGCCGCGTACGGCCCCACGCCAGAACAGGCACTGCTCATCGAAAATGTCGAGATGATGTGCTATCTATACATCAGACGCTACAATGACGCTTTCCTGTCGAGCCCTGAGCAGGAGGCGAGTCAGCGAAAGAACAGCAAGGTTGGCCACCACGCTCAATACTTTGACTGGATCAAGTACCAGTTGGAAAAATATGAGGCTGGCCAAGTGGCCCATGCCAAGGCCGAATGGCGACAGCGCGCTGCCGACGATGAATATGTGGCGCTTATGGAGAGCAAGCTCCTCGAAGAGGGCTCGCCTGAGGGTAAACTCGTCGTCAGCGTTGGTCGTCAGCTCCCAGCCATCTTGGCGGGCGAGGCTGATGCCCTCGAGCTACTTTTCCAAGACAAACTCGTCGAGAACGTGTACCGGTCTGGCGTGGGCGCCGAGTTGGGCTACCGTCGAATGGTTTCTTACATCGATGCCATGGCTCACAAAAACCCTGCCATGCGCATCCTCGAGATTGGCGCCGGTACGGGCGGCGCCACTCGTCCTATCCTCGAGTGTCTCACGACGCAGGACACCCCACGCTTCAGCCACTATGCCTTCACCGATATCTCCATTGGCTTTTTCGAGAAGGCTCGCGACATGTTCGACAAAGATGCTGGCGGACGTATGAGCTTCCGCGCTCTCAATGTTGAGGCAGACCTTGCAGACCAGGGCTTCGAGAACGAAGACGATCAGTACGACCTGATCGTCGCCGCCAACGTCATTCACGCAACCAAGAGTCTCCAAAAGACGCTCACAAACGCCCGTAAGCTGCTCCGGCCTGGTGGCAAGCTGATGCTGTATGAGATGACCAACACGGATATGATCCGCACTGGCTTCGCCTTTGGGCTGCTACCCGGCTGGTGGCTGTCCGCCGAGGATTTCCGCAAGTACACACCCCTAGCGAGCCCTCAAGACTGGTCTGCAATGCTCAAGAAGAGCGGATTCAGTGGCATCGATGTTCAAATGTACGACTTCCCTGATCACCGACACCAGATGGTGAGCGTGCTTATCTGCAGCGCCGAAGGCGGGCCAGCAAGTTTTACAGCCGGGCCCGGGCCCCCTACGACCTCGAACACTTCGTCAGAAGCTCTCACCATTGTCGTCAGCGACTCGCCCTCTAGCTCGTCCCTGCAGATGACCGTAGCTGAGAATATGGAAAGATCGGGCGGTACCGGTTCCAAGATTGTCGGCCTCCGGGACTTTGCAGCCCTCGATACCCGAGATGTTCAACAACGTCGGTGCATCTTCCTTGGAGACATTGACTCGGACTTCCTCGAAAACGTGCAAGGTGATGAGTACAATGCCTTGCAGAGGCTAGTATCAACTGTCAAGACGCTGCTCTGGGTGAATCAGGGAGGTGGACCCTTGCCTGCGAGCCCAGGCGCCGACATGGTCACGGGCTTCGCGCGGTGTATGCGCGCCGAGAACCCAGGCCTGACCATGATGACACTCTCGCTGGAAAGCGCCAGCAATCTCGACTCTTCGATTTCCACCATCTTGCGAGTTCTTCAAGGATCTGGTGGCGAAAACAGCTTCTTCGCGAGCAATGGCGGTTCCATACTCATCCCCCGCATCACCGAGGCCACCCGCATGAACGAAGTTATCGCCGCCAAGGCAAAGGGTGGTGCCTCTTCCACCGTGACAGAGACGTGGGCGGCTGCCACTTCTGGCAGGGCGCTCAAGCTCGCCTGCGATACGCCAGGCCTTCTCGATACGCTGCAGTTCCGTGACGATCCCCTTCAAGAGCAGCCCCTGGGCTCTGAGGATGTCGAGGTACAGGTACACGCCACTGGATTGAACCTACTTGATGTCATGATCGCGCTCGGCCAGGTGACAGGCGAAGCTTTCGGTCAAGAGTGTGCCGGTGTTGTGACGCGCATAGGTGACGGCGTCAGTCGCGTTGCCGTCGGCGATCGAGTGTGTGGGCTGCTGCGCGGCACCTTCAAGAACCTGGCGCGTGGCACGCAGTGGCAGTTTGTTAAGCTTCCGTCATCTGTAGACCACGCCGTTGGTGCCGCTATGCCCGTCGTCTACACCACGGCTTACTATGCACTCCACGACCTGGCGCGATTGCAAGCTGGTGAGAGCGTGCTAATCCACTGGGGTGCTGGTGGCGTCGGACAGGCGGCTATTCAGCTGGCCAAGAAGATTGGCGCCGACGTTTTCGTTACGGTCGGTTCACTTGAGAAGCGGGACTTCGTACACGAGCACTACGGTGTTGCGCTCGACCACGTCCTTTCGAGTCGCGACCTGTCGTTTGTTCAGGGCGTCAAGAGGCTGACAGGAGGCCGTGGCGTCGACGTCATCTTGAACTCGACATCTGGCCAGACACTGCGGGCGACATGGGACTGCATCGCGCCATATGGACGTTTCGTCGAGATTGGAAAGGTTGACATATTTGCCAATGCGGGACTTCCCATGGCTCCGTTCAAGAAGAGCGTCACCTTCTCTTTCTTCGATATTGGCCTTTTGTCGCTCGAACGGGGCCCTCTTTTCGGTCGGGTGCTCCAAGACGTCGTCAATCTTCTGGCCGATGGGTCAATCACTCCGCCGCAGCCGCTGCATGCGTACACTTACTCCAACATCCAGGAGGCGTTCAGGATTATGCAGGCAGGAACGCATACGGGAAAGCTTGTCCTCGAGCCTCGTCCTGATGACTTGGTAACAGTTGAGCCAAGCCGTAAGCCATCGTACTCATTCCCCGCCGATGCTGCCTACGTACTATCCGGGGGTGGTGGCGGCCTCGGTCGAAGCACAGCACGCTGGATGGCCTCCCGTGGTGCAAAGAACCTCATCATTCTCTCGCGCTCGGGCAAGTCACGTCCAGCAACGCAGGAGCTCGTTAAAGAGCTCACACAGGCTGGCGTCAACGTTGTGGCTCCGCAGTGCGACGTCTCGAACAGAGAGGCTCTCACAGCTATCCTTGACGAGTGTACCGCGACAATGCCGCCCATCAAAGGATGTATTCAGGGCTCCATGGTGCTCAAGGACTCCCTCTTCGCCAACATGACGCAAGAAGACTACTACACGGCGGTGCGTCCCAAAGTAGTGGCTTCACGAAACCTGCATGAGCTGCTGCCTAGAGATATGGACTTCTTCGTGCTGCTCTCGTCGGCGTCGGGCGTCGTCGGTAATCGCGGCCAGTCCAACTACTGCATAGGCAACACGTACCAGGATGCGCTGGCGCGTCATCGCGCAGGCCGTGGGCTCCCTGGTGTGGCCGTGGATCTAGGCATGATCCTTTCCGTGGGCTTTGCCGCTGAAAATCAGGAAAGCATGGCCAACCTGCGACAGGAAGGCTTCAATGCCATGCGTGAGGATGAGTTCCTAGCTCTGCTGGACATCCTATGCAGTCCACCTGATCTTGACGCCGACGCAAACGGGAGCCCGCAGATCGCCGTCGGTCTCGAGGTGCCTGCCACGCTGCGGATCAAGGGCATCCCAGAGCCTGCCTGGCTGCACGATCCTCTCTTCCGTCAACTTTACCAGATCCGTGGCGACAGCAATGGTCACGGAGATGGCGATGGTGATGGTTCCGCTTCATCGACATCCTGCAGCGTCCTGCTCCCCGCAGCGTCGTCGCTCGCCGATGCGGCGGAACATCGTGGGGCACTGCCAATCGTCCAGAAAGCTGTGCAAAAGCGCTGTCGTCGAGCGGAGAGGGGACATTTGACACGTCGAAAGCCGGCTTTCACAGGTTATGGCGGTCGACTCTCTTGGTCGGCTGTCGAGCTGCCCACCCTGGTTCATGAAGGAGGTCGGGGCTGACATGGGCCGTTTTTCGACATTATGGGCGGATCCAGCTTGAAGGAGCTGGGCTGAGCTGGCTGCCAAGAGGAGCTCCTTCGTCCACCTTGCTGATGAGGATGCTGATGAATGATCTGGGTGATTATTGTAGTCATTGGCATGTATGGGATATGTGGGAGCGGGCTTTTCTTTTCTCTTTTCTTGCGTCGTTCATGTTGTTGCTTGAAATGATGATGTTGACAGCCAAAGAATGGTTGAGGGGTTCGACTTTGGTGCGCTCAGGGGTTGTGCTGACTAAGGAAGGCCCTTCTCCAACTTGTTCGTCTCTAGGTCTCGACTAGAAGGTGCGGAATACGTGGAAAGGCAGACAAATATATTTCTACCTTGCAAGTCATGCGCTTGATCATGATTCATTCTTGAGGCCAGTAGATACCTACACTACCAAGTCCTCGCGTATCCGGAAAAAAAAAACACAAATCCCTGTGAATCTCCGAACGGCAATTGCTGCAGGTACGATGTTGTACCTGCCATGAAGGCCTCAGAGACCAAGCAGCTGCAACCCGATGCCTGCCGTTATTGAAGTCGTGGGCTCTTCGGTCTCGAGCACGAACACTTGGTCCGCCTGTCTTTTTATCTCTTCAAGTTCAAATGACACCTCTGGATCGCTGGTTTCTGATCTTTGCACTCCTCACAGCAACATCCACTGCTTCTGCCAAACCCACATGGAAGAACGGCCTGTTGACACCGACAACAGGCTGAAACCCTGTAACGCTCGCATCGTCTTCGTCAGCACCGCTTTCGACGAGCGTCCCGTCGCTCTTCTCTTCGTCCCCAGACTGTACGCCTTGGTCCCCGCCCATGTCCGCCGGCAACCCAGCGACAGCATAGCACGGCGTCCACTGCGCCGACGAGACCGGCCCGTCCGTGTTCGAAGGGTGACCAAAGCCTGCGACGGCCAGAGCGCGCCTCGCCCAGCGATTGCGCACCCCGGCAAAATGCCACTCGACGACGCCTGGCGCCGCGTGGCGGGCGAGCGTCGTCCGGAGATCGACGAGGCCCTGGACGCTCGTTATGTCGACGCTATCGACGGCTGAGCAGTCGAAGATGATGGTGCGGAGACGTGGGAGGTGGTCGTCTTGTGTGGAGCCGAGACTGGACGGAGGGTCGTCGAACAACATGGATGCAGAACCCGCCTCTTTGTTCGGACGGGGCTCCTGGACGTTCCACAGACGGTCCGACGGCTTGATGGAAGGATCTTCTGGGGTCGTACGGCGAGTGTTGGACGTGATGTAGCTGGAAATCAAATCCACGTGCTGCCCCTGGTTGGTGTAGTTGAGTGTCTGCGGGAAGCGGTAGATGAACATGCCCGGGTAGGGGGTTTCCAAGGGTACCCGGGGGTTGAAGCCTTCGTTGCGCTGCGTGGACAAATACGCGTCATAGGATTCGACGGCTACCTCTCCCGGTATGATGTCTGTTGTCTTCGCTTTCGGCGCGACTCCTTCGGACGGATGAGATGCTGGCATTGCCTGATCATCTGCAGGCACAAGGTGAATCCTGACGCGACCGAGAAACGATCCAGGCGTTCGCGCCATCCTCACAAGCAGCAGGCCAAGCGACAGCCCCGTGGTGACGTAGATGGACATGTCCAGGGACTCAAACAGCGCTATCGCGAGCCCGACAACCCATATGAGCAGCTCGAACGGTGAGAGCTGCCAGTACCTTTGCAGCGCTTTTGGTGATGTCAACAGATTACTGGTCGCATGTATGATGAGGCCGGCAAGTACGGCCTTTGGAATGAAGGCGAAGACTGCTGTGACGACGTACAAGGCCAGAACAAGAACAAGCGCACTCACCACGCCCGCGAGTGGCGTTCGCACACCAGATTTAGACAGCACGGCCGAGGCACTGAATGACCCAGTACAAACATAACCACCGATAAAAGGGCTGAAGAGGTTGGCGATGCCCTGTGCCATGATTTCCTGCGAGGGTGTGACGGTGTACCCATACATGCGCCCAAACGACTTGGCTATGGCGATATGCTCGATGACGAGAACAATGAGGACGGCTGGGAGCTTGGGCAAAATGAGAATGGTGAGTTCGCTGTCGAAGCGGGGAATGCCAGCGTGACGGAAACCTATGGTGTCTGTATTAGCCTTCATCTTGATGCTTGGTCATAAGATCTCTTATTTCTTTCACACCTGCTTCAATATTGCCAACTAAACGGAACTTGGCTTCATCCCGAGGCAGCTTATAATTGACGAGATAGCTGATGGTAGTGAACATGACGATAACGAAGGTGAAACGTAGAGACGATATAATGCTCCAGAGGCGCCTCCTCTTAGGTTTCCGGACCTCAAGCTGAGAGCACGCAGTCTTGATGAGGTAGAGGAGGAGGATAGATGTCAGTCCGATGGCTGCATCGAGTTCGGTATGTCCCAAGTTCTTTAGGGTGTTGATGATGACCCTGTATGGCGCGTCCCTCGTATTGATGCCGCGGATGCCGAGTGCTACTGGAAACTGTGTTGACAGAATGGTGATGGCCGCTGCTGTGACGAATGCAGAGATGGACGTGTACGGAATGAAATCAACAACCCAGCCCAAGCGGAGTAGGCCGATCGCTAGCAGAATCATGCCGGATATGAGTGACAGAGAGGCTGCGACTTCCGCTGCTGTGTATACCCCAGGTTGCTTTTCTTCCACGGCCGTGACCGTGGAACCTACGAGAAGAGACCCGATTGCGGTTGTCTTGTTGTTCAAGTCAGTCTCGGTGCGTTAATTTTTTTTTGGATAGGATAGGAGTTATTCAAATCATAGGACAGGTTATTCACACTCACCCCAATGACTATATCTCTTGACGTCCCAAACACCCAGTACGTCATGGCGCCGATGAAAGAAGTATACAGGCCATACTCTGGAGTCAGCTTCGCGAGAAGAGCATACGCTAGGGCCTGCGGAACGACCACGAGGCCGACAGTCATGCCTGCCACGACGTCGCCCAGAAACCAGCGCAGGTTGTAGCGCGGCACCCACCCCACGCAGGGGAAAAGCGTGAGAGCGTATCCAATCGCACCTTGCTTGGTCGGTATCAAGGTAGCGAGCCATTGCTGAATCGTCGGGTCCTCTTCAAGGTAGCTGCTTCCCATGGCCCTTTGGGCTGTCGTCTCAAGGTCGTCGGGCTGCATGCGGGACAGTTTCGAGGGATCATTTGGCAAACAGGAGTTGGGGAACTGGGTGCAAGTGCCATTGATATTATCATGTCCAGCCATAGCGGCGGTATACCATGTCTCAGATGGCCTTGATGACGATTTCTCTGAGACACACCGTATGTATGAAAGGCAGATATGATTTTTCAACATGAAGATGATCTGGAACCATTTTCCAGATAGGGCAGCGCCGTCGCCCTTCATACCAACGAAAAACCTTACGCCATCGGGGTTTGAGACCATGCATGCCTTCGCAACTGCAGCTTGTTGGCATCGACACATCCGTAAGCCGTGCTCCTGATAGATGTGAAGATCCTGACTCATGTGATTAAGAATTCCCGACTAGGGCTTTTTGGTGTGTGCATCTGGTCGCCGAAGCGTGAGGTCTCCGCCCCACTTAATCCCGGACGTCCACGCCGGCGTTCTCGGGTACCAATTGTTGTTTGATGCCTGAACAACTTAGTGTACACAGCGACAAGTCTTCACTATTTGTGGTATCATAGAGAAATGAGACGGCTACGTTAAGTATATTGAGCTAGAGCTTGCCCCGTGTCTTTGAACGTCACCAACCCTCGCCCACGACCCTCACCGGTATATGCAGCGCTCCTACTTGAGACCCGTTCGCGCGGGGCATCCGCCCGCCGCGCGCATTCACCTGCAGCGCCTGGTGCATGAGCCGTGGAACCGCGAGACCACTGTCCCGCTCCGCTCTCCAGCTGACAAACTCATCCTCTCCGACGCCATGCTTGAGGTGCTTGTTGTCCTTCTTCTGCTCGGCGACCGTCTGGTATGGCACGGGGTCGTGCCGCCCCTCGGCCTTCGGTGGGTAGTCGTGGCCCGTCCAGATTCTGCACTCGTCTGGGAGCGTCAGGAGCTTCCTCGCTGAGGCGTACAGGTCGGTGGCGCTACCCCCCGGGAAGTCGCAACGTGCGGACCCGACGTCGGCGTTGAAAAGGGAGTCTCCGCAGAATACATCGTTGGGCCCGATACGGTACCCGATGTGGTCCGGCGTGTGACCCGGCAGGTGTAGAATAGAGGCGCTCAGGGTGCCGACGGAGAAGACTTCATCGTCCTCAAAGGCGTGGTCGAACGCGTGCGTGAGTTCCTCTTCCGGCACGCCGTAGGTCGCGACAACATGCTGCTGGACCTGTCGGATTCGCTTGCCGATGCATACGGCAGGCGGGGCTTGCTGGGTCGACCCGAGCCTGGTCTGCAGGTAGTTTGCCGCGCTAAGGTGATCGGCGTGGATGTGAGTCTCGAGTATCTTCTCAATGGTGTATCCCTTATCGGCAACCAAGGCGAGGATGCCGTCGGCAGTGCCCGTTGTGATTATGGAACTGGCTGGATCAAAGTCGAGAACAGTGTCTATGAGGACAGCCGCGAGGGTTTGGCGGTCTGCCACAACATATTGCCAGGTGCCTGTGACAGCTTCATAGATATCATGAACGATTGGTTCGGCAGTCATGATGATAGTACTCTGAATGTGATGGCGATGTTGAAGGTCGGTGTTCCCGTCTGCGGAAGACTTGCGTGCATGTAATAAGATGATTGCCTGGTTAATAGATTGAGTTTGAAAGGGCGAAACGCTGGCATTTGGCGTGTTGAAATAGTGGTTTGAGATGGCTTGGTCGCCGACACATTTGTCATCGCCTCGTCAAGTCTGAATCAGTCGCCGAACCCAAAGCTCTCGGCGACCTAACTGATGGCAATCTGATGCAAAGTCGAAACCACCCCCCAAGAACAAACTAAATGGTTTAAGCAACCTTGATGTATTTGTGAAGTTGCTGAATGTATGGCACCAACTAAAGTAGAATATGAAATACGAGGAATTGATCACGTCACTTCATGTCATCCATGCCGGTCGTTTTCTTCATCACCTGGATGATTTCCTGGTCACCGCGAGACAAAGAACGAAGGAGTATTCGGGATCAGTGTATTGTAGCTCATCTTTTGAAATGCCTATACCTGGTCGCTACAACGTACAAGTCTTTGAAACGCTCCATCGACAGGGTACGACGTGAAGCCTGTGGATACGAGGCACCATCTTGACTGGTTCCCGAACAAATCGAAGCGCACCAAAAGTCGGCCACGTGAAATGGAAGGAGTCGTTCGGCATTCAAAGTATTCGATGATGATGCCGGACTGTTTTTCTGAGGAACCAACGCTATTGATTGAAAGTCTCTCAAAAGAACGCAGCAGATACCCAAGTTAAGCAACTTTGAGAAGGCCAGGCCCCACATGTTGCCAGTGAGTATTGCCTTCGCCGTGGCAACCGTTGATGACACAGTAGTGTCCATCGCCGTTGTGGGATTCTGCCTGAATTGGTGATCTGATCCAGACGTCCCTAATCTTTTCATAAGGATTGCCCCAGAAATCGTGTCTCATGAGCTCGGCACGGTAGCCCTGGAAATACCGCCGATGCTTCAGACAGATAATATCCCCACGTTCACCCTCACAATTGTAGATCTTGGATTGTCCCCATGTATAGGACACGGAGTAGCCACCAGAGATCCACTCTAGCCTGCCGAGCCCTGCAAAGTTGAAGGTGGCAGTATGAGTCACTGAATAAGAAGTCTCTTCACCAGTGCTGCAGACGCGGCCATGTGTACAGTCGATTTGTGCCTACCGAGATGAACAGTGGTCAGCGTACTTTCCAGGAAACTGGCTCAGGGGTATCACTAACAATAGTACGGTGTCGACGGTACCTGTAAGGCACCGGATTCGGGTGTGGCCGGGCCCTATCCAGCTGGCGACGCTCAATCGACGGCCCCTGCCTTACTTCTTGGTTGCTCTCTTCGACATCGGCGTCAAAGACATTGGAGATGAGGTCGGCCGCAAGTCCTTCCTCGGTATCCCAGGAAACACCGATGAGTAGCGAGGGGTCGAGGCCAATACCATCGGGATAGCACTCGACCGTGCTATTGCCCTCAAGACCTGGCAGGTCGCGAGTCTGAATGATTTGTTCAAGTGGGATGTAGCACTCCGCAGATGCCTGCTGGTGACTGTAGATCCTTGAACAGCTGATGCCTGCCGCGGCATCAACGCCAGCGCGATTGGGTGTTCGATGCCATTGACGGTGACACTGCCGGCACCCTTGTCGTTGGCGTTGAACTCAACCTCTATGCCAAAGGCAACGGCCGAGACACGGTCGCTACAGTCGTATTGTAGAAGATTGGCGAATTCGGCATCCCAGAGACCAGTAGAGGTCCGGCCTGTGGTCAAGTCCTTCTCCCAGATGGCGAGGACGACAGACTTTGCTCCATTGTGGGGCGATGACAGCTTCCGTCACGCCGGTAACTTTGCCATCTTCATCAACAGCGACGGGGGCATTGCTGTTGGAAGCGGCTGCGAAACTAGCAAAGCAAAACAAAGTATTGAACAGCATAGTTAAGGAATAGCAGTCGCCCTCGTACCAAATGCTCGTGTTGATTTGCGATCTTACAAGACTAGAGCAAACATGGCGGGAATCTTGGTGTATTTATAGCCCAGAAGTCTCCAGGAACTACAAGAAAAAAGCTGATTCTACATTCCGAAGCTCCAGGCCGCGAGTCGAGTAGTGAAGTCTAACCGCCTAAAGCACACGATCCTTGAATGTTGGCATGCATTGGAGTCGCCAGGTCTGCATATGCTGGGACATGATGGTGATAGGACAACCTACGAGGCCAAGACGACCCCACATGTGGTTCAAGTCTTAGTATTGAGTCTGCACCAGCATATCCGCATGAGCAGTATGCATGCGGACCAATAGCAAGACAAGGCTAGACCGGTTGTGCCCCAGGGTTACCTCAAGACTAATTAGGTGCGGCAGAAATGCTTAGGTTGAGAGCGAACGGACCTTCAGAAAGTAGGCTGAGCCCTTGGCAACTATTTTCTTGGAGATCTTGGCCAACTATGTGCATGTGCCTCAGCTATTACCCGCTTCCAAGACATATATGCACCGGACGAACGGAGACTCACAAATTCAGATCCTACAGCGACATGGTCCACAAAGTCCCACCCGCCACCAGACTGTTGTTACTGTATTTCCGGATCTCCTGTCAGCTGGTCCTGAGAATTTTCCCGAGGATGGCGGGGATGAAGTCTATGGCCTATTTCATTACGGGGATTGGCCTGATGAATGAAAATAAAATCACAACTGTTTCTTGTCTGAGACCGGTCGCCATTTACAAACTCCCCGCAAAGGCAATTTGATTCAATCATGGCTCCTCGATGGATTATGAGCCAAACAGGACCCTGAAAACACAGTCGAGGGATTCGCCAAGGAAGCACTGCCTGTTGCAAAAACAGAAGCCTTCTTTGCGAGAGCTTGATTGGAGACAACGACTTTATGAACTGCCCTCCCTAGTATGGCCCAGCTGCTTATCTCCTTGATCCTGTGATGATTGGTCCGTATTTCTTTTTGTGTTCAATTAGCCCTGGTCTTCTATAGCAGCTCATCATCGCCGTCTTGCGGGTGCCTCGACCGCCGGTTAAGGCCCCTAGAAGTATTTGGGAAACTATAATTGAACAGTTGGAAAGGCTGTAAAGAAAACCCCGTGTCTCTGCACTTGGCTAAACGTGCTAGTTCAAGAATTGTCAACAAACCATAATGCCAATGTTATTGATTCGCCAGACTTCACTCTTGGCCATGTACCCCCTTCTAGCCAAACTTCCGCTTGCTACGGATGCCACTTTCTCAGCTACCGCTTCCCCGCAATATATAGACTGTCTCTTTAACGGCACTAAACGGCAAGTAACCGGATTATGGATGATCTACAGGGTATTCGTCTGGGGGTGGTTACACTTCCGAGAGATTCTCCGCCTCCTTGCCCAGTCAAGGCATCTGCCGATGACGACAGATGCACGAATCGTCGCGTGCTTGTTACAAATGCTGAAAGGATGGCTTCAATGAATCGGGATGCAGTCCCAATCGATGTGATCTGCCGTCAAAGCTTCCGAAAAAGACTCCGACATATTGCAGATGTCCAAAAGACTCCTGATATTGAGACTTCACAAGCCTCGCTTCCTTGGCCATATAACAAGACATCGCAAGCCGAGCTCTCAACATGGCAGCATTCAGTCTAAATTTGCCACCCATCTTAGCCCGTCACTTTACACTCTCCCACAGCGCTCGATAATCAATCCTTGACAATGCTGTCTCAATATTTCACCCTGCTGGCCATCTGCTTGATGCCTGTTTCTGGCAGCTCCCCAGGCCCAGGCCTTGACAAGAGGGCCGTCAGCTGCCTCTCAGTCGGAGCAACTGCCACTGCTCGGTGGACCAACGCCGCAGGCCAGAGCTGGCACATTCACTGTCGTTGTTGGAAGGCAACTACGGAGCTAACGGCGCCGGCGCCGGGAGAGTAAGACTACTGCTTGCAACTAAGCTGTCAGTGGAGCAGCCTGGCTAACGCGGGTCAATAGTTACTCCTGCAACGGTCGTTGCGGTGCCGGTTGCACCGGATCTTCAGTCGGGAATGCCTACACGCAGGACTGCTTCTCCCATGACATTTGTTCATACTTTAACAACGCCAGCGGCGGGCGAGGGGGGTCGAGATATGAGCCTGACTCGTCGAGAATGATAACTGATTGTTATGGCCGGGGACCCCAACTGCGGGGGCCGCTTACAACGGGGCCGGGGGACGATACTGTTTTCGGAAACTCCTCAATGGGAGGGGGGCCGTACTTAACCCCTTCCAACGGGGGTCTCTAAGCCGGCCGACGAGGCCTGTTATGTCCGGTGAGCCCCCGGGGGCAAGAAAAATGTTGTTGCCCCCCCGGAAAAGTGAAAAATAGGGTACGGGCCGGAAACAAGGCCCACGACTGTGTCATTTTTCGAGATGAAGCTGAATATTTTCTGACCATCTTAACACATAATATATCAAGATAAATGATGGCCGACTATACTCGCTTGTCCCACGTTTTTCTTTACTGGCTGGCCCTTCGTGCGTTCACAGGCTCTTGGCCGACCTGTCTCGAGTGCGACGTTGATGATGCTTAATCCATTATGTCACAGAGAAAACCATATTGAATAAATAAGCAACAAATATTACCATCTCAGTTACTAACATATGATTGATCACAAGTAGTTGAGAGTTCGTTAACTTAACAAACTGCGGGCGTCAAAGCCAGCACAGCATGTCTGGGGCGGTAGGTCGGCTACCATTTGCCGACCACCTGTATCATGCCCAATGACGGCTGTCAAATGCTCAGCAGTAACGTAGAAAAATCTCTTCGCTCTACTCCGGGACTCAAACACGCTGCAATCAAGGACGGGCATATTGAAGACGACAAGACGGGAGACTGCGGATGGCGGCCCGGGGCCGAGAGGCCCAGCTCGCAGTGGGGCAACCCCACCACAATTGGCCTACCTTACTCCAGAATGCAAAAGTCATCAACCCCCCGCCAAACTCTCACACTCACCTACCCTTGTCTCATGCCCCTCCATCACATCACGCCCACCATGGCAGACACCGACGACGCCGGAGGCCTGTTCAGCATCGCCATATCCGACAGCGAGGACGAGGCCAAGGCCGAGGAGAAGAAGCAGCGCGCCGGGCAGTCGGAAGAGGAGTTCCGGGCCATCAAGGCCTCTTACAAGGCTAAGATTGAAAACGGCGAGGTCAGCCAGTCCTCTCTCGTGTCATGCGTGCCCCTGTGGAGTGATTGAGGAGGCTGACCGGCTACTGCAGATTTGGATGGGCATCTCGCTGCCGCTGGAGGAGAGCGCCAACAAGCCGGTGGTGCAGGAGCTGCTGCACGCTGTGGAGGAGCTGTATTTCTTCCGGAGGTATGAGGAGGGTGCACGATTTGCGAGGAGGGTGCTTGAGACCAGCGGCGGTCGATGGATGATGAGCACAGAGAGAGTGTTGACGTTGTACGAGAAGAAAATGTTTGGGTTAAAACGGGGGATAATGAAAGCGAAATGAAAACTTACGATGCATGCAAGCAAAGTGAAATGGCCTGTTTGGGTTTGGTCCCTTCAGTGTTACTGTCGGCTTCGCCTTTCCCTGAGTGTCAATGGGCGCATGAGCAGGGCACTATAGCACGTGTCCATTCGCCAAAGCGATTATTAGCCTGCAAGCATCGCGGACAGCCGTAGAACAACCATGCGTCAGAAGAGTCACTGAACAAGCGGCACGACAGGTGGTGTGTGTGTAGATTGGAGAGTCTATTATTCTCAGAAGCTCTATGCTTCCTCTAATGTGCTAACGCGTGGTGAACGCGCCGCGGCTCTATGCAGTGTATGGGGTATTCTCGACGCCAATTATACAAAAACGGAAACGCTTCCCGCAACCGTTGCAAAATCATGCCCTGCCAACGCCAGTTGTTTTGTGTCCCTTTGTCTAAACCCTTCCCATTTTAGGTACCAGCATATGTAGCCGGTGATGCTTTTGAACGCTCGCAAGTCATGGAGAAAAGTTGGTCGGTCGAATCGTGTCTGTGTGGTGCGCGTTTGTCGTACGTACGTGGTGTTGTACGAGTGGCTTACGCAGTCGCCCTCTGAGTGCTCATCATACGCTCGCGTTCGCGCTCCTCGGCAAAGACGCGGCGGCTCATCTCGAGAACAGCCTCGAAGCCCTCGCGGCCCTTGGACGCGTTCTCGTTGAATCGACTAACAAGCGAGTCCTCGATACTGTTCTTGATGCGCTGCCAGCCGCCACAGAGGGCGGTAACCTTGGCATCCTGAACAAACTGAGTCTGCGTAGGACTCAGGGGCTTGTAGACGACGGTCTCTTGAACGGAAACGAGGTTGGACCATGTCAGATTCTGTGAGACCATGGTGACAGTCTTGCGGGCGGGATCCACGTAAGACGTCTCGTACATGTAAGAAACATCCATGGTGTTGCCCATCAGCGACTTGAGCCACTCGGGGGCGGTCTGCTTGCAGGTGATGAGACGCTCGGTGCGAAGAATGCCCGACTCCGGATCGACGCGGCGGGCGAGGGTATCGACAGCGATGACATGGGTTGACTTGTCGTTCCACGGGCAGTACTTGTTCCAGTTGGCTGTGGAAACTTCCTCCCAGGAGTAGTTGAATGTGACTGAGTTGGAGAAAACTTTCATGGTGGCGATGACTCCGAGACGAAGAGCTCGCTCGCGTGTTGGTGTTTGTAGCAGGAAAGGAAGGCGACAGTCGAGCTGGAGAAGTAATCGAGTTGTCGCGTGTGGTGTAGGGTTGGTTCTCGTGTAGTTGGTGTTGTAGGGTTCGGTAGAGCTTGGATGACTCAAACTTGTTTGATAATAATCGACGGTGTTCGATTCTGATCTGTAGATGGATCGAAGGGGGACTGATTCCCTTTTGACGGAAAAGAGTGGAGGAGGTCGTGTGCGGGTTTTTTAGGGAGCGGGCCAAAATTTTCTGGGATTCCGGAGAAGGAGAGGCATTCTCTGGCTTGTGAGTGGCGCTTGGACGGGCACCTGGTCGTCTAGTGCCCTTTGGGACTAGCGTCTTCAGGGGTGGGAAAGGACCGGAAGAGATGGTTGCTGGACCACAGCATGTGATTGGCCCACTTTGGTGCACCGGCGACTTCCCTCCCTTACTTCCCCTTCCTGCGTCGCTCCCGACGTCCGAACTTTCGCCCCTTCCCCCGCGCCAACTCCGATTTTACAGCGCCTGGCGCCTGCTGATCGGTTCGAGAGCCATCCTTTGAGCGCCCCCTTGGGTGCGGCCGGACCGCGGAAAAGATGGGTCCATGTCGCCCACGCCGTTGATCATGGAACGAACTCGGCCAAGCTGGACCGGATGCCAGATCCAGGTCCAGGGTCCTCTACCATCGTCGGCCGCTGACTGGTTAGCCGCGGCAATACCTGCTTGGCCGCCTCCGCATACCCACGGCAATCTTTTCCACTGTACATTCTCCATTACATCACACATCGCCAGCTATCATCATCCGCCACCTGATGGCAATGATGTGCAGCTGCAAATCCAGGGTCCTCGTCCGAATCCAACGATTGGCCCAGGCTTCTGGAAGCCTCAGGGTCATTCTTCTGGACCAGTCGCTCCGGATAAGCACAGCTTCACGCATCCAACCCACAGCATCAAAAGGCCACCACTTACGTCACAACCCCGCGCATGGGGGACAATCACATTGGCCAAATTGCTTGATGCCGCAATCATCATCAGTTCTTCCACCACAACAGTCAGTTGCGGCTTCGTCATCAAGAAATCGACTGTCGTGTTATCTGTCCAGCCTAGTAGTCCTCTCCTCTGCTGATCACCTCCTTCACCGTAGGCCGAATCAAAATCGTCTGTAAACCAAGTCAGCACGCGCTGCATGTTTCTGGCATCTTCGAGACAGAGCTTGTAGGGGGATCCCCAACTTACGTGTTCGAATTGCGCCGTGTAGGAGCCCTTCTTGTCCACCAGTGGCGGGTATGCCTCGACGATTCCGGCGCTCACCAGGTTGTTCAACTAAAATGCCTCGTCAGCTGCGATGTCGGGCCATACTCCCGCACAAATCGGGACCACGTACACCTAGAAGATACTTTTCCTGCCCCAGACGATCCAGATATCGCCGGCAGAACGGTAGCGTGCCAAAGTTCTTGTTGATCACGTTCAGCAGCCTCTTGGCCGAATCCAGGCGCAGCGGCACATTGGAGTCGCCGCGCTTGGCATAATGCGAGACCTCCATGTCGTCCCGGACGTAGCCGTTGCCAGTGCTGCCGAATGTCTCCACGGCGAACACGTCGCCTTCCTCCATCTTGGTCGTGTCGTTGCTCTTTACAATGGGCACGCTCTTGGCGCCGTGAATGCTCCACCGCTCAATCGTGTGGCCGTTGAGGTTGCGGATCGACTTGACGGGGTACGTTGTGCCGTCAATCTCAACCTCGTAGCTCTCCATGACCTCCTGGATGACGCCTCCAATGTCACCCACCCGCACGTCGATGCCCGCCTCCTTGACACCGGCGTTTGTCGCCTCACGGACAGCTGTGAGCAGGTTGTCGTACTTGGGCTCGAACGCCAGCGTGAAGGCGCTGTCGACGATGCGTCCGTTGACGTGCACGCCAAAGTCGACCTTCATGACGTCCTCCTGCTGCAGGACCATCTTGTTGCCGAGGTTGGGTGTATAGTGTGCGGCGCAGTGGTTGATGCTCAGACCGGTCGGGAAGCCCATGCCGCCCTTCAGCGCGTCGCCCTCCTCGAGACCCCAGTGGCCCGTGAGCGCGCGCACGCCGTCCTCGATGCCCTCGGCAATCTCGGTCAGTCCCTGACCGGGCTTAATGTTCTTCTGGGCCCACTGGCGAACCTGGCGATGGATCTCAGCCGCCTCGCGGTAGTCGGTCAGGAAATCAGAGTTGAGGTTGTCCAGGTGGCGCTTCTCCTCGTCCGTCGTCCGGTAGGCGTTCTCGTTTAGGTACTCGCACTCCTCGCCGACGGGGTAGTTCTTCTGCGGGAAGAGCTGCGACATGAGGACACGGGGTGGGTCGGACTGGGCGGTCGGCGCCTTCTTCTTCTTTCTTGTTCTTCTTCTTCTTCTTCTTCTTCTTAGCGGCACCCTCACCGCCGGCGAGCATCGGGGGCCGCAGCGCCCTCGTCCTCCGAGTCGTCGCTGTCGTTGTCTACCCGCATTGCCGTCCGGCGCTTCCTTGCCGTTTGTGGTGGCGGCCTCGCCCACTGGAAGGGGATCAGCTGCGGCTCCTCCACGACAGCGGGGGCCCATTTGTGGTTGCACGAACCTTGGAGCTCTTTGAGAGCTTCGGTGGGAGCTTGGGCAGCCATGTTGGCTTTGTGTCGTATCAGTAGCGTGTAAGTTGGGGTGTGGTTGAATGTGGGAGGAGAATTTGTCCCCCACCTGCGGTTATCCAAGGCGCGCGGGGCAGACCTCCTAGATGCAATACGAGCGAGCTCATGCTGGTTACATGAATATCCGTCACGTCATTCGCCGTCAGGCTGCCATTCGGGTTGTTGCATTTTGCTCCACTCAATCAGGCTCGGTCAGAACTCTTGCTCATCGCATGCTGATATTTCTTCCCAGATATGCAAAGTGGTACCTATCAGTCGATGGTGTGCAATTACGCTTTTCCTCAATTTCCCATGCCCATACTTTTCCTCGATCTGCGGCTTTGCTTTTCTGTCAGATGGGCAAGCCATTTCTAAGGCTAGACATGTCTCAGGAGTCTAGTCTGTTGGGATCTGAAACGTTCATTATCAGGACCGGAGCAATGTGCGACCTTGGAGGTATGTTCCTGATCTCTGGAAATCTATACGGAGACAGCCTAGTGATGTATACTGCACCACGTACTATCTGGGTCAAGGTGCGCGCATCCTGATCTTGATGGAAATTGTGTCCACAGGGAGGATCTGCGAGAAACTGCTTTCCTGTCCGACACCGACGGAAGTAGAAATCAACTTGGTATCATATTGCAGCTCATTCAAGCTAGCCTTCTCAACTACAGACTGGGATAAAAAACGGGTTACGTCTCGAAATAGCGGGCCAATCGAGTCCGACGACAAGTTCGAGCATGGTGGTCGAATCTCTGCAGCACAATAGCTGCTGCTTCAGATGTAGAAACCTCTCCCCTAGGCCGAGAGGTGTTCCGAGAAACATCACAGGCATGAGAATTCTAACGCCCACTCAGCTGGCTCATCTGACTGGCCAAGCTGAGACCTGTACCTTTGCGCTCTTGCAACGCTTTGGTCCAGCGCCGCGAATCATCAATAGGCTTCCCATTGCCTGTCAGACCCAAAACCTCCATGAGCTCGGGGACCTCGGCATGGTCGCGCGTCGAGCGCATTCGGTGGCACCAAGTGATGCGCTTCTCCTCGGTACTGTACTGAACGTCGCCACCGTCATCATGGACTGAGCCGGACGGCCTCTGCGTGTCATGTGCGGTGATGGTATCGCCAAGTGTCCGATCAACCTCTTCGGCTTGCGGTGTCGTGACTGGGGTCATGAGATCCATGGGTTCGAAGAGAAACTCGCCACCAACCTGCTGGAAGTCGCCGCTCTTGGTCGCCAGGCCTGTGGTCACCTGCTTTAGGCCTTGGACAATGGAGGAACCTGCAGACTTTAGAATGCTCTTCTTCATGTAAGCGGGCTTCGATCCCAGGTCCCACGTTCGCGTCATTGCAAACTTCTTATAAAGACTGCGGGTCGGGTCGGTGTAGATTGGGAATGGACAATTTGTTGTTTCCGCGTACATCTGAATCAGACCTGGGTCACCACAGCCAATGACGGTGATGAAGGTACTGACAGGCAATCGGAGAAGCGACTCGGTGGTGATGGACTCGGAGACAGCGCGAAGAAACTCCTGGCAATTCTAGAGCTCGTCAGTGGTCTGCGTGATTGAAGGGTGCCATCGGCGAGACTTACGCCACAGAAGAAATGTCGGACGAAAATGAACAGCATGCGGCGTGCCACATTCCGACCACTGTGCAAACTCTTGAAGGTGTGCGTTTTGCCATGGCGATCGAGAAGCACGTAGTTTTCGACTTTTCTGATCAGCTCAGTCGAGGGGATCTCGTTATTGGTCTCAATTTCGCCTTCAAAGTCCTTGGGCTTGGAGGTATCGACTTCAACAGATGTCGCTCTCGTCGAGCTATCTGCTGCTTGGGTCGTCGGTGTGGTTGGCGATTTGGAGCCTTCTGCTTGAGTTGGCTGAATAGATGGGTCGAGGTGTTGATGATGCGCAGTGGACACTCCGAGAGTCTTATCTGCCTGCGATAGACCCTGCGATATGGCATTTGCAGGCAGAGGCGCCTGGTACAGAGGAAGGCTAGCCGTCGTAACTTGGGAGGTGGTGTCTTGGGCAACGGCTGGTGGTCCTTCGATAGGTGTGGTCGTCGCTCTGTTCTGGTCCACCGTCGACGGCGTCGCGCCGCCTGCTGTGGTGGGGGTGGGCTCCGCTGTAGCCATAATGTCCGCAGTGAGATCGATGGCCAGCGTCTGGTACAATTGAAGAGGAAGGGTAAATAGGTAAGTTATTTCCAAGTCGACGAGCCGAAAAAGAGGTCCTGGAACGCCCTGGAACAAGTGATGATGTAGACTGGAGGCGCAGCAGGGACAGGCCACTGACCCCAAGCTATGTGAGGGTCCAGGACCCCTGGGGACGTAGAACGATGCGGTCAGACCAGGATCTGGCACCACCAAGTCGCCTGCCGATCCAGCCAGCGTCCAGTCAGACGTGCAGGCGGTTGCACGACAGTAACATCAATTGCAGCCAAAAACCGGGAACCAACTTGGGCGGTGGCATTTGTAGCGAATCGCAGTGTGGTTTTAGGCATCGTCTTGTTTCCTGATTGTTGGATGCCTTTGCTGGTCGTTGGATGCCTCCCGCGAGCTTGTGTTGTGTTTCATTGCTGTATGAGGTCATCTTTTCCACTACAAAACTCACATTGGGTAACCGCCCCGCCTCTTTGCAATGGCGATGCTACCCACGATCGCAGAATGGCAAACATACCTTAATCAAATCACAAAGAAGCTTCCTCGCCCTCTAGCATACCCCTGCCAAAGTTTATTGGACGCGGTCTTTGATCGCCCGTTGCCGTTATTCTGGATGATGTGCCAAGGAAATCACCTGCAGGAGATCAGCAGAGGCTCCGAATCCATATCTGCCCCAAGCCACATGAGGGGGCATTATGTATATCGGAATACATTTTCAAGCACCAGCTTATCCTGTTTGAGTACGCGTTGGACCTGAGACGCTCACATGTAGACCAATTTCGGGGCTGACCTGTGCTGTACCTGGCCACCAATGAGTAACACTGACGCTGGCTTGTGGCTGGGCAGCTGTCGTCGTCGTTCTTTCCACGCGAGCAACTGTCACCGGCACACACTGGGCCATTCCTTCTTCAAACCGCAATACTCTTTTCTGTGCGGGCCAGAAGCTGTTGGCATCTTTTTTCCCGATTAAAAACATATCTTACTCTCCGAATTCCTGGTCTAGCATACCTGACCTGAGGTACCTCACCTAACCTTACCATACGTACACGGGCATCCTGACGCAAAGCTCATGTGTAGCTCCTTACAAGAGCCTGCTAAGCTGCATCACACCCCCGTGAAGCACGAGGCATCACACAAGCAATAAATTTGCCATAGGGCTTTCAGAGGTGTTCCCACCATGCAACGATTTTCGAGATCCCCTGTCCGATCCTCAAAATCATACCGGGAGCCGCACCACGACTCTGCAATACCTACACCACGCGATACCGAAAGGTCTAACAAACGTGGCACTGGAACCCCTCTCACGTCTTTTCGGTCTCGTCTGTTTGGCTATGATGACCACAACCAAAGCCGAAGTCTAGCCCTTGGCCCCGAAGTCAGGAGACTAGGTCGCGACAGGGAAACCCACCCATTTACCCCTTACAATGCAGCTGGTGCCGACCATGACCGAACAGGATTCCAGCCTCATCGGCCGTTCCGTAGTGCATTTAAACACGGCAGGTTAAGTGATCGAAAAGTTCATCTGAACGAATCGCGGGAGGAGGTATCCCGCACTCCGACGGACATAAACCCTGCCAAATGTGAGGCCAGCCCACTACTGCAGCTTCTCCTCAAGCCCCAACATTCTGGCACGATATATTCTTCGCGTGGTGAGAAGCGACCCATCCGCGGCAACAAGTCTGGCGACATAGTGAATGATATTGGGCACAACTACCACAAGGTGACACAGCCGCTTCGAGAGGCAGCAGCGCGCCCACAAGCCGTCGAAGTACCCCGCCAACCCCCAGCCTCCAATGCAAAGAGCATTGAGGAGCTCAAGGGTAAGCCGAACTTTTGTATTCATCTCATAAGTCTTTCGGAGAAACGTTTGCCAGATCTTAGAAGATCAGAACAGAAGAAAGGAAGTGAGAATGCGGGGCTTTGCTAATCATCGCCGCGTTGAACAGACCGCTATGGCGAGCTGAGTGCAGCCCTACAAGCTGACGTGTCCGCCGCTCTTGACGACAGCCATGCTACCCTCGCCGAGCGCGTGTCCGTTCTCTCCGCAAAGCAAGGAGACTTCCTCAACCGTTACGCGGATCTGACGATCGACTTTGGCCAGCCCCTGTCCGAGAGCTACGTCTACGAAGAACGAGAAGGCGACGCTCCCGACGAGAAGATCTTCGTCGGAGATGTCGTGGCCGAGCTGCAGGAACACCTCGTTGAGACAGAGAAGCGTCTCGCTGAAGAGTGGGAGCGGTGGGACGAGTGCAAGGCCGCCGAGGAGAGGGCAGCTGCTTCGTTGATCCAGGATCTGAAAGCCAGGCCAGACCTTCATGGGAGACTGGACTGCGAGGTGAAGAAGTGGGAGAAGGAGATGCAGAGACTTGGCAAGAGAGCTGCTGACAAGATGACCCAGCTTGAAAAGGTGCGTGGCCTCATACCCACTGTTCGTTCTGGGACACTGACGGTTTTCACTCCAAAGTCACTGGAGAGGGAGCGTAACGATGCGATTCGGCGGAGCGCTGCAAGTTTCGAGCTTGAGCTCAGACAGTTTCGCTGAGGAAAAGGCAAGCCCAGAAGATGAGGCACTACGCAGCCATTTGTTTTTGGGGGTTAGGAGTGATTGCTTCATACATGTAAGGAAGCCTGATGCGGCGGATGCGATGGGCGCACGGTACTGGAGTTCTTGGTACTCATGACAGGAACGAAGCACAGAAATGACCGAGAAAGGTCTCGTCTCACAACGCGAAATGTATAAATCATCTTTTAATTGTCTAGGCATCTAGGCAGGTAGACGGCTCGTGGTCGAACCAATCGACTCCAACCAACTCATCTGTGTATGTATATGCCGGCTCACGTGCAACTCATGCCATGCAACCCTGATGCCGATGCCAACGCCACTTTTCATGTGCGAAATCAGCACATGTTGCCTACCCAATCAATCAGCCAAACAACCAACCAACCAACCAACGCCGGGCCAATGAACCTCCTCCTCCTATCTCGCATGAATTGCAGCTGTTCCTCCCCTTTTCTTTTCTCCAAGCCTGCTCAGGGATATCTCGCCCCATTATGGCTTCCGCTGCGCGTCGCCATTGCTCCGGCGGGCAGGGGCGAAAAAGAAAAGATTGCTTCGCACATATGTCGCGCGAACCTTTTTTCTTGCCTTTCTTCGCTTTTCGCTTGTTTCTGACCGCTCTCCCTTTACTGCTCCTCCTGGACGGTGACGGCCCACTCGTGCTCCTCGCCTCCGTACATGATGTCGCGCATGTAGCCCTTGAGCTTGAGGGTGAGCTCGCCGCCCTCGCCGGAGCCCATGCCGATGTTGATGTCCTTGCCGCGGTGGTGGATGAGGGAGATGGGGCAGACAAAGTACTATGGGCGTCGCATGTCAGCATACGGGTTCGACGGATCGAAACCAGGTTGGGACAGGGAGGGGGGGGGGGGTAAAACTCACGGCGGGTGCCGGTGGCAAAGGACTCGAGAAGGCGACCCTCGGGGCGGGCTCGATGACCTCGTCGATGGAGTACTTGCGCTCGACAACGTCGACCTGACCGGCGAGGCGCTCGCGGGCCAGTGCGACGACCCTGCGTCGGGTTGAAGGCGCGAGGATGAGCCTGTCATCCAGGGCGCGTCGTGACGAGCTCAATCATGGAGGGGCCTGCTGGTCTTCCAGCGGCGAAGAAGTTGCTTGCACCGGCTTCGGTGCAGAGCTGGTCCTCGCCGTAGAGCCAGAGGATCTGACCGAAGCCGCGCTTGCGCGCCTCGACGGTGGCGGCCAGGGAGGGGCCGTAGTTGGCGCCGACCTTGGCGTAGCCGAAGCCGCCGACCCAGGCGCGGACCTGGTCCTCGGGGGACGTGTGCAGGCGCATGCCGCCGGGGGGCGAGTCCATGCGGGGCATGAAGGAGACGATGATGTAGAGCATGGCCTCGGAGGGGGCCTGGACGCCGAGCTGGGACTGGGTGCCGATCATGGTGGGACGGATGTAGAGGTAGGAGCCCGGGCGGTCGCGGGGCAGCCACTTGGGGCCGTCGACGGCGAGCAGAGCGTGCAGCAGCTTCTCGAGCTCGGCGGGCGCGAAAGCGGGGAGAGAGATGCGCAGGGTCGACATGAGCATACGGGCGGCGTTGAGGCTCGGGCGGAACAGGCGAAGGCGGCCATCCTCGCCGCGGTAGCACTTGAGACCCTCGAAGCACTCGGTGGCGTAGTGGAGGACGGAGGCGGTGGGCATGAGTGAGAGGGGGCCGTAAGCCTTGAGCTCGGGGGCGGCCCAGCCGGTGGTGGCATTCCAGGTAGCGGTGATCATGTGGTCGGTGCAGATGGTCTCGGTGCCCGAGTTGGCGACAGCCTCCGAGGGCACGGCGCGGGGGTTGGTGTTGCGGGTGAAGACGAGCTTGGAGGCGTCGAGCTCGGCGGGCTGGGAGACCTTCTTGCCATTTGCGTCGGCGCTGACGCCGACGGCGCTGCCATTCTTGACGGGCAGGGCGTCAAGCTTGCGCTCAATGGCAGAGGAGGTCAGATCGACGTCCTGGACGCCGGGGGAGACGGCGGCGGGGGCCATGGCGATTTATTCGATGTATTCGAGGTGCTTTGGCTTGTGGAGGGGAAGACGGCGTGTTGCGGTGTCGAATCGAGGGAGACCAGAGTCAACGGGAGATGTTGGAGGGACACTGGAGGTGGAAATTTTCGTAGGTCAAGTCAAGATTGGAGGGAGGAGAGGAAACAAAGAGTCTTGTACGAGGAAGGAAGGTGTTTATTGTACCCCGTGTGGATTGTGTGAGTGACTGATCCGACCAAGTCACTACTACGGCCCAATGCCGGCTGGCTGCGGTCGAAGGTCAGTTCCGTCACTTGTTCGACGGACCCCCTGGTCACGCCGGCCCCATCCCGTCCTCACCATCATCCATGGTCATGTTCTCCCCCTCGCCATCAACCAGGAGCCATCGGCTAGCAGCCAGCAGCCAGCAGCCAGCATACATACCCATGCCCATGTCCATGCTGACGTCTGAGCAGGGAAGAGACAGGTGACCGTGACTCGAGCGCCAATGCTTACTGCTACCGGTGTTCGTTGGCAAGGAAGATAATGAAATGGGTACAGGTACAGGTACAGGTACACGTCCAGACGAGAGTGGGTCGCTTGGCGTCGACGGCAGGGCGCGGCTGATAACAGTCTCTGACATTAGGGCGCCGAGAGAGCCCTGCGAGTTTTTGCAGTCCGAGATCCACATCGACATCTCGTGGAGGGGGCGGGGCGGAGGGGTATCCGGAACCCGGTGGATGGATGGATGGATGAATGGGTGGATGACGGCGACGGCGATGGCGAAGGTGATGAATGGAAAAAAAAATTGCAGAACCTCCTTACCAGCCTACATGCCTAAGGTACCTAGGTACCTACCTAGGTAGGCAAAGCAGAGTGGTGGCATTCACCAGCCTACATTTGAGAAGGTACAACCGGATGTTCCCCACTGCCGTCCAAAAGCCTTGCCTCTCGGTCTTGTCCGCTCACGTCGATGCGTAAAATGGATCTAGATGGGGGCGGCCGCCTCGGTAGCACGGCATTGAGAACACTCCCTAGTCCACATGGGACATTGTCTCTGGGCCCTTTCCTCTGTTCTACCACCGCCGCTTCCGCTGCACACCGCCCGTTGTGCTCACCTGCTGATGGACATTTGCTGAAGGACAGATCGCAGCCAACACTCAACGGCGTTCGAAACCCCTCGGTTCCCTCAGCGCCCAATCGGACGGGTCGTGTGTGTGTCGCATGACCCAACCAAGCGGCCAACAAGCGCGTGCGCACCGCAGGTTGATAACGACGAAAAAAACAAACACCGGGGAACTGCCATGTATCATCATCTTTTCCCCGACGCGGAACCAACCCCTCACCGTAGGTAGCCGCAGCTAGGCGGGCAGCAGAGCAGCCGTTGAGGTGCGGAGGTCTAACAGTGGCCCGGTGTGGGTCTGCACCCAATGTCTCCTTCCTTGCCTTCCAGAAGCCTCCTTCTTCTGTTCCTTTCCTCTGTTCCTGCGCCTGCTGCACTTCCACTCCTTGCTACCACCACCGACTGCCTGATTGGGGAGGCCAGAGGAAGCGTCGTCACATGAGTACTTGCTTACCTTATATACCTATCTACTTGCCTACCTCCAAAGGTAACTCCCTAATACGGCAGGCTGCTGTTGATGCGCCCAGTGCCGATCTGACACGGCTTGGTCTCGATCCAACTCACGCCATCCACGTGCAATCAGGTCCCCATCTAGAAGGTGCCCTTAAACTTGTGGGTGGCACAGCATGGGTGGCTTACTCTGCCTCCCACTCTAGCTATCCAGGTGCACGGGTGTCTTGGCATGCCAAGCACACGCGATGGACGAGGCTGACCACCAGAGGGGGGGGGGGTTTGTTTTTCGATTCTATCGTCAGTGCAGCACATTCAACTGGTGCATTGACTTCGTTCAGGCATGCATTTTTCAGCATTCATGACATGCAAAAACGATGCTACCGACCGCATGATGTGGAGCAATACTGCAACGAGTTTGAGCGAGTGGGCACCGGCGCGTCTCCATGCGGGCTGACAGTTGCCCGCCTCTGGAAAGGCAGACGTGTATAGAACCAGGCAAAGACAGGATCACCTTGCCTCGGGGTAGTCCACAGCCCATGTGCTTTTTAGTCAGGCTAATCGAAGACGACACCTCTCTTTCCAGGACATCAGGACCCGTCTGCCACTGCTCTTTCTCTCTCTCTGATTGGGGCTTCCAAAATGCGCACAAGCCTCAGTTTGACACACGCAAGCGATTTCTCCACCAGGTCTCGCCCGTCGATTCACCCACAAACATGTCATGAATCCCCTCGTTTACCAGCGCCATTTGATCCTTACTGAGCACCAGCGGGTGATCAGGCGTGGCTGCTCTGTCCACAAGAAAGCCTCGCGCTCGCTCTGTCCTTTCTCCGCTTGCTCTGATTGGGCCGAAGTCCGCAGCAGTTGATTTTGAAAACGAGGAGATCAGTAGTGTCAGTGTAGGGGACGTGGTCTTGCTGAATGGCCCCCGAGGTGTCTTGCTGGATTTCTCTCAAGGCTACCGCAGCTCTGGGAATATAGGGGCACTAGCAAGAAGGTCAGACATCGGCGTCCATCAAGCGATAGCCCTCGCTGCTGGTGTGGGAGGGTGGTGGCCTCAACGCACGTGTGGAACAAAGTCGATAGGGACAAGTCGTTCGGGATCGGAAAGTACACACATGAACAACTGCGCGCATTGTTTGAATTCATCGCTGTGTTTGGCGAGCAGGAGTCGCTTGAGCGTCTCGGGGCCAGGCCCCTGGTCAATGTCGATACTAAAGTCAACGCCCTGAAAGGGGATTAGCTTGTGAGTAGAAAGATGACCCGACTGCGCACGCTTTGTTCGTTCACTTGCCTGCGTCGAATAGTCCACATCACCAAGTATGCGGGTGCATGCCAGCCCACCAATGACGGCAACCTGAATGTCCGGATACGACTCTAGCTTTGTCAGAACACAGAGGACTCGAGCGGCTGCCTCTGTGAGATCCTCAGAAGTCAGTATGGGCTGGCTCATTGAGAAGAACTTTTGTGTGGAAGGAAGCGGTAGGGAAACGGTACGAGATTAGGCAGCGTGACGAGCAACTTGCACGACGATACTCGCAGTTGTGTTTTTGGACCTTATGTAGAACTTACTTGCCGATGGGGTGTTTCCAAAACACGAAACGGCAATTGCGCGTGCATGGGGAAGGGGGAGATTGCTTCCACGCCGTTTCTTTGTAACTGCGCTCGCGTCCGATGGCGGCTTCAGGTCTTCTGGTGTGAGGCGCATGCTTGTTGCCTTTGTGTTCGTAACATTCGATGGGCGGCAGATGAATAGGCTAAGGGACACAAAGAGAACGAATCATTCGAGCTCAACGGCGAGAACAGAGCGTGGCCGTGACAAAAGGCAAAGTCTTTGAATAAAACGAATCCTTGACAGTCTTTTTCTGCCGTAAATTGATGGTGAACAATTCGGCTGTGTCTTTCCGGCCAACGATTGTGACTGGTGACGTGTAGGAGTGAGCCCGATGGTCATATCTGAGAGTTGATATTTAAACACGACGAGGAGCCCCAAGATCGGTCACTACAGTCCACTTTTCACTACAATTCAATTTCACTTGCAAGTTTCAGAACCCGACAATCATCTTCATCGATTATCATGGAGCTTCAACCTAGCCCTCCCTCCCCCCTCGAGACCCAACTTTCTTTCAGGGACTACAACCAGCTCACCCTTACGAGAAATCCCATCGCTCTGTCAGATATTGTCAGACACTTCAATAGCCACGGTATTCCCTGCGTGGCATGGGGAGGCTCTGCCCTGGACCACTATGGGATCCGTAGCAGTTCCACCACAATCCCTGTACGTCTCGACTTCTGTGTTTCTTCTTCCCATGTAGTCAGAGCTGATATTCTCTTATAGGGCCATCATATTGTCGTCCCCGACGACGTGGCGGAGGAGGCAAAGGAGGTCCTTCTAACACACCCCTTTCTCCGCCCCTGCCCCCGGGAGGACGACGGGGGGTGCCCCGACGGTGGATATCAGGATAAGAACCCTACTCTCCTCGCCCATAGGCATTACGGGCGCGGTCCATACACTCTCAAGATGTCTAGGCAGTCCGACGTCCTGTGGGCCTTGCCTCGGATCCCTCGCGAGTTCGCCAATCCTCGTGGGTTGACTTTGCCGGACGAGTACATTTTTACGTACGACAAGTCGGCACTGCCTGCCCCGGTCCACTCCCGTTCAGGAGGCTGGCAGAGTCAGGAAATCCATCCCGTCATTATTCCTAGGTTTCACTGCTACGTTGAATCGGTCATGCGTGTCTTGGCCCGCCACATGGGCTTTCCATCATCTTCGCACGCTGCGTTGGCTTTTGAGCTCTCCGCACGTGCCCTTGAACTGGGTCGGAATGACGCGAAACTGATGGATCCGGTCTTCTACGACCTGTGGGTTAGAGCTCACCGCATAGAGGGTCGTGACTTGCTCCCATTGTACCATGAGTTGACGGTGGCGCTGGGCGAGGTCTGGGACCTCAATCGACCCCATTTCCAGGGGCGCTTTTCCCCCCCTCTCAGTACTAAGAAGCTAGCGTAGCCGATGGCAAGGCATTGTCCCTCTCTCCAGAGAAGTGAGAGGTAATGGTGTTGTTACAAGCTTGACTCACAGGCAACACACCGCATTCATTACCATGAAATACCGCTGCAGTCTTTACATGTCAAAGAATAGAATCCCACACAGTCCTTACCTAAACAACATGATCAGAGAGTATGCATTCGTGGTATGGGGACAGATGCTGCAAAATATGAGCATGGCATACAACGTGTCAACTTCTGGATCATACCAACAACAGCCCGCCCTAGAAAGCCTATGTCCATATGATGTCGCCCGCCGGCACGAGACGATGATTGTCTTGCGATGAAAGGGTACATGACCCAAATTTTCAAGGGATCTTCAGGGTGCAAAACTGAAAGGTCGATGGATGTGTCCCTTGCATACAACAGCCAGCCACAATTAGCCATCTAACTTGTGAATAACTCGTAACGTCGTTTGACGCTTAAACGTTTTCAGTCTTAAAAAAAGATGCAGAGCTTGGTAGGCAAAGAATACAAGTTTGCATGGCAACTTGCACATGCTGATACATATTATTCGTTTAAGGAGGGTGCATGACCCGTGATTTGTTGTTTATGCGGTGCGTTCTCAGTCCTCTCTGGATAACTTCTTTCCAGACCCGCTCGGTGTGGAACCTGTTGAAGGCCGTTCCCGTTGAAGGGCTCAACCAAGGGGCGCCTGTGCCGTACCCCAAACCATGTTTAAATGGTTCATTTTGGCAGGCTGTGAAACAACCTGCTGTTGGCATCTGCCGTGGTTGAATTGTGCGTGCTCATCTGCAACATCGCCTGGCCACCCAGGCTCAATTTTCATGGGCTCATGCGTCAGCGCGCTGAGCCTCCTTCTCCTGCTGTTCTTCCTCTAGCATCTCACGTTCTCGAGCTGCTGCTTCCATTTCAGCCTTGACACCCTTCTTGCGCTGCCGGGCCTCATATAGATCTCTACTCTTCATGATGCGTTGTACGATAGTGCCGGCGTTGACTTCAGAGAATTCGTGTGCGCCAATTTCTTTCATGATGCCTACTTCTCTTGCTGCCGTGTATGGGTCATATGTCAGGGGCATGAACGCAGTTGGGCCGTGGTACAGGGCATCTGGCGTGCCCCATGGCAGCGAGGTCAGATATGTCTTGGTGGGCGTGAACGGCGCCCCAAAGACTACGGCGTTGACGTACTAGGGACGCTTGTCAGCAGATTATTTTCCATCGGAAGGAGAATGCGGCTTACTCGACACTGCAAGACGCACAATCCACGCTCGTAGAGGTTCATGATTGGGTAGTTGATGCCTTTCCAGTGGTTGATGACCTCGTCGTCGTGTATTCCGGCAACAACATAGACGGGTGGGTAGTCGCCCCCTTTGCCGATACGCTCATTCGTGGCCTGCTCCGAATACCAGCCGTCTGCGCGGGCGAGATCTTCCTCAGCCTTCCACACGAGGCGCAGGAATTCAATGTGTCTCACTAGAGATCAAGTCAAATCCACCGTCGACGTAGACAATGCGCTGCCCGAGACGGGGACCTGTCCCTCCGAGGAATTGCGTAAATGTCCCCTTTTCCTCCGTGGTGGCCTCGACCCTGGCTTCGGCCGAGGCGGACCAGAACCAAACATCCACGCCGGGGGCCTTGCCAGTCTCATCCGTTGCGTACAGCTTCATCCGCTCCGTCATTGCCTCGCCTTCGGCCCTGATCTCATCCAGTGTGCCATGACCCTCCTGGCCACGCAGTCGCTTCTCGAGCGACTTGATGAAGTGCGTGCGGGTGCAGAGAAGCATTCGGCCGACGAGATCCGTCGTGGATATGCTGGGAGTGCGCTTCACGACCTTGAATCGACCAGCAGCTTTGACGAAGCGGTAGCAGTCCTCGCCGTCACCGTCAGAAGTGATGTCGTCGCCATGGACGACATACTGGCACCCATAATGGGTGATCCAGTCCAGCTGCGTGACGTAGGGGGCTCGCCCGATGGATTGCGTCACCCAGCGACAAGCGTCGACAGCAGATAGGCTATACGGGTCAGCAGAGTACCTACAAGCGCTTAACGGTCTGCCGAGGAGAGATCAAACGAACCGTTCTTGCAAAGTCATGACCGTAGGGCCCTTGTTCTCGAGAATAGCCTCATCAGAGTGGACACCTATGTACAGTTCACTGCCGAGTTGGCGGGCTTGCACAATGGCTCCAGCATGTCCTTGGAGTGTATTGTCAGAAAACACATTACTTCTTGGATAGGTTTCGCGGGCGGAAAGGGTACCGTGGTGAAAGAAGTCAAAGCAGCCATCGATCCAGATGCGCTCCTCGTACACCTGGGGAGCCGCGTCTCCAGGCGGGACCTGAGGGTCGGACGCCGTCATGTTCCGGCCTGAAATCGTGTACGTGGGTCGAGAAATGCTGGGTGGAAAAGTTGTCGTGTCGCATGCAAGACAAACGGTTGTTGTTTGAATTTGTGGACGCAGGGGCCGGGAAATGAATGCAGCCAGAGAGCAGTTGGTGGTGGCAGGCCACGGTGTGCGTGGTGGCCTTGTCGGTGCCGTCCTCTCAGTGATTGGCAATTGGCGATCAGGGAGGGGCAGGTACCTACCTGGGTACCTACCTGAGGTGCACCGACAAGCCGCTCTTGCAACGACACTGAGACAGACAGGGCAGCACAGGACAACACAGCGCCCCGGGGCTACTGCTCGCTCTCAGGAGCATCTTCTTCTTTTTTGCTGTTACTTAAACAGGTGCCTCGAGTAGGTACCTTAGAGCGCGGGTTTCGCTCCTTCATGTCTTGTCGTCGTGCTTCAGGATCTCGTTGTGGTCTAATGCTGGACACGTTTGGTACCTGATGGATTGACCCGTCCAGCCATCAACACCAAGCCATGCCCATTTTACGGCAATGCATGGCCATGTGCACTCCGGCTGAATGTCCTGCAGCAGATCGACGGGCCGAACCACCAAGAGTCCAAGAAGACTGGTGGCCGTCTTTACGTGCCTTGCACTGTGGAAGCCTCCCCTTAGTAGGCACCTTCGGCAAGAGAGCTCCAGACAACTGTCGGGCTACGGCGGCAGTAGTGTACCACTGAGGATTGAGTCAGCGCCGTCTGCTCAACTCTTTCGAGTCGCTACTGCACCCTGAATTCGTGGAGTGGGGTAATTTCGTCCCTGAGCAATGCTCCGACACTGGGGCCAATCCATTCATCCATCCGCTGATCAGACGAAAGAATTTAGCCAGTCTTTCTTCTCGAGCACCCCCCTCTTCCGTCACGAAATACTACTCGACGAATCGCCGGCAATGCTCGACAGCTCTGGTGG